GGGTGAGAACATTGAAGTTCTACTCTTTCAGGAAATTTCAGTTATACAAAAATATAAATTTCAACTATGTCATAGTTTATAGTTATAAACTACAGTCACCATGTTTTACATTAGATCCTCAGATATAACTCATGTTATAACTGAAATGTTCTTACTTATACTTGATGAAAAAGTATGTTAAGTGCCTACTAGCACATAGTAAGCACTCTAAATGTTAATCTCTGTATTATGTGAGTGTTGTAACTATGTAAGTAGCATTTTTTAAAAATTATCTTTATTGTTGAGGTATTACAGATGTCCGCTTTGTTTGTTTACTTTTTCCCCATTGATTCCCTCCTCCCCACACCCGCCCCTCCCAAGCCTTCCCTACACTTGTCTGTGTCCATGGGCTATGCATATATGCATAAAGGTTAATGTCCCCTCCCCTCCACTTTCTCTCTGAAATTCATCAGTCTGTTCATGGTTCTATATCTCGGGATCCATTTTGTTCATCAGTTTATTTTGTTCATTAGATTCCACATATGAGTGAGATCATGAGATACTTATAATAAACTCAACATGGATAAAAGACTTAAATGTAAGTCGTGAAACCATCAAAATCCTAGAAGAAGCCATAGGTAGCAAAATCTCAGACATCTCTCGTAGCAATATGTTTACGGATACATCTCCTAGGGCAAAAGCAAGTAAGGAGAAAATAAACAAATGGGACTACATCAAAATAAAAAGCTTCTGCTTCTTATTTCTTTGTTTTAGCAAAATAAAATATCAACAAAATGAAAAGGGAGCCCACTGTGTGGGAGAACATATTTGGCAATGATACATCTGATAAAGGGTTAATATCTCTTTGTTTCTTGAGTCTGACTAAAGGTACATCAATTTTGTTATTCTTTTCAAAGAACCAGCTCTTGGTTTTGTTGATAATTTGTGTTTGGTTTTTTTTAGTCTCTATGTCATTTATTTCCACTCTGATCTTTATTATTTCCTTCCTTGTACTTACTCTGGGCTTTTCTTGTTATTCTCTTTCTATACCTTTAAGTTTATGGTAGATAGTTTTTTAGAAGTTTTTCTTGTTTTTTTTTGAGGTAGGCCTGTAGTGCTATGAACTTCCCTCTCAGGACTTTCACTGTATCCCAGAGATTTTGGGTCCCCACTGGGATGTGCCCGCAACCAAGGTACATGCCCTTGACCGGAATCGAACCTGGGACCCTTGAGTTCGCAGGCCGACGCTCTATCCACTGAGCCAAACCAGTTAGGGCTGGGCTTTTCTTGTTATTCTCTTTCTATACCTTTAAGTTTATGGTAGATAGTTTTTTAGAAGTTTTTCTTGTTTTTTTTGAGGTAGGCCTGTAGTGCTATGAACTTCCCTCTCAGGACTTTCACTGTATCCCAGAGATTTGGGGTTGTTGTGTGTTCATTTTCATTTGTTTCCAGGAAGTTTTTTATTTCTTTCTTGATCTCTTTGGTAACCCAGTTTAATGACACACTCTTTAGCCTCGACGTTTGAATGTTTCTGAGTGTTTTTATAGTAGTTGATTTCTAATTTATGCCATTGTGATGTGAGAAGATGCTTGATATGATTTCAGTCTTCTTAAAATTGTAGAGACTTAGTTTGTGTCCTAACATGTTGTCTGTCTTTGAAATGTCCCATATGCACTTGGAGAAGAATGTATATTCTGTAGTTTTGGGGTGAAATGTTCTGTAAGTGTCAGTTAGTTCCATCTGATCTAATTGCATCTGATATTTTGATTGGCACATTAGATTATTATTGATAGGTGCTTATTTGTCATTTAGGATCAATGTTTCCTTGTGGATTTTTTTGTTTAGAAGATTTATCCAGTGACGTCAGTGTTTAAGTCCCCTACTATGATTGTATTGCTGTCCATCTCTCCTTTAAAATCCTCTAGAAGTTTTTGTTTGTTTGTTTGTTTTTATATTTGGATACTCCTGTATTGGGTACATATATGTTTACCAGAGTTATATCCTCTTGTTGTATCGGTCCCTTTAGTATTATGACGTGGCCTTCATTGTCTCTTATTATGGCCTTCATTTTTTTTAATACTTTTTTTAAAATTGATTTCAGAGAGGCGGGGAGAGGGAGAGAGAGACAGACACATCAATGATGAGAGAGAATAATTGATTGGCTGCCTCCTGCACACCCCCTACTGGGGATTAAGCCCACAACCTGGGCATGTGCCCCGACCAGAAATCAAACTTTAACCTCCTGGTTCATAGGTCAACGCTCAACCACTGAGCCACACTAGCCAGGCATTATGGCTTTCATTTTGTTTAAATATTTTATTGATTTTTTACAGAGAGGAAGGGAGAAGGATAGAAAGCTAGAAACATCGATGAGAGAGAAACATTGATCAGCTGCCTCCTGCACACCCCCTACTGGGGATGTGCCCGCAACCAAGGTACATGCCCTTGACCGGAATCGAACCTGGGACCCCTGAGTCTGCAGGCTGACGCTCCATCCACTGAGCCAAACCGGCCAGGGCAATGGCCTTCATTTTGAAGTCTATTTTGTCAGGTATGAGTATTGCTACCTGTTTTTTGTTGTTTTTTTCATTTCTATTTGCCTGGAAACTTTTCCCCCTTCCTTTCACCTTCATTCTGTGTGAGTCTTTTGTTCTGAGATGAGTTTCTTGTAGACAGTATATAGTTGGCTCATGTTTTCTTATCCATTCAGCTACTCCCTGCCTTTTGGTTGGCACATTAGGTTAATATTGATAGGTGCTTATTTGTTGCCATTCTTAGTCTTTATGCCTGTGTTCTTCTCTCTCTATTTCTTCTTCTTACAGCAGTCCCTTTAGCATTTCTTACAGTGGTAATAAGTTCTTTTAGCCTTCTTTGTCTGTGAAACTCTTTTTTTAAAAATATTTTTTATTGATTTTAGAGAGGAAGGGAGAGGGAGGGAGAGAGATAGAAACATCAATGATGAGAGAGAATTATTGATCAGCTTCCAATCCCACTGGGGATTGAGCCTGCAACCCAAGCATGTGCCCTGACCAGGAATCGAACTGTGACCTCCTGGTTCTTAGGTTGACACTCAACCACTGAGCCATGCCGGTTGGGCAAACATGTGTCTCTTTTTAAAGCAAGTAACTTGTATGTAGCCAGCCCACAAAAAGACTATGGAAGGAAAAGAAGCCAAAGATTATGTATATTTATATATTTTTTCTATCAAGGTGATGTATACTTACATGTTTTTTATTATCATTACATTAATTTACACACTTTTTGCCTTGGGCTTGCTTTTCTAAAAACGTTGATACAACTTATAAATTGAAAGCCTCTTAGGATGTCAGCCTGAACTTTTCATGGCCTGCCCCCAAATCTCTCCTTCCAGATTTTACACACACACACACACACACACACACACGCACAATTTCCACAGTCACTTAGGTTTTAGACAAACAGAGCTATTTATCTTTCTCCCCCATTAGACCCTGTACTTTGATTCCTCCCCCATCTCAGCATATCCAAATCCTGCTTCTCTTTGAAAGCCTAGCTCAGCATAAATAATCTCTGTTCCGTTGTATTTCATCTGGATGTCTTGGCAAGGCAGTCATTATTATAATCCATATTATAGAATATGTATCTTAAGTGTAAGAAGTATATCTTATTAAAACTTTGTATTGCTTACAGACCTGTTTAACACAGTGCCTTAAGAAAATAAAAAGAAAAAAAACAAAAGAACAACAACAACAAAAAAAAAACATAGTGCCTTATACTTAATAACAATATGGTGAATGAATGAAAAAAAGAATTTTGCCTACATGACCTTAATGTGGAGAAAGGCCAAATACAGGGTGTCTCCCCCCAAAAATTTATATATATAAACATATATATATATATATTTTTTTTTTACACACATACACACACACACACTATCTATATATACTATAAAGGCAGTATTTATTAAAATGTTTCATTTTCAAAATATAATAAGATCTGCAGCTATCAGCTGTTAAAGTGTATATACATTTTTTTTGGATATCCTGTATGTGGGAGGGAGGGGGAAGTGGTTCTCACTAAAATTTAGTAACGCATAACCCTCCCATAAATCATAGAATCATCTGTGTGTGTGAGTAAATGTGCCAGTCTGAGTAGGCGTATTTCAATCTACACTTTTTATGTAGTTACATAAAAAGTCTTAGTGCCTACTCCTTTTTTAAAAAAACCATATATTTTATTGATTTCAGAGAGGAAGGGAGAGGGAGAGATAGAAACATCAATGAGAGAAAATCATTGATAGGCTGCCTCCTGCACGCCCCCTATTGGGGTGTGGGCCCTGACCAGGAATCGAACTGTGACCTCCTGGTTCATAGGTCATTACTCAACCACTGAGCCACGCTGGCTGGGCAATACTCACTCCTTTATACCAATGTAGTAATGAAGTCTTTTGCTTGTACCAAATGTTAACATTAGAAAACAAAGAAAAATACATCCCCTGAAAGCTTTGGACAGACATTCTTAAGTAATTTAAACTAATGTTTTAATGTAGGCTATTTTTTTAAAAATTCAGGTAAACATCACTAGGATAATTTTCTGAGTATACTATGCAGCTACTCATTTATATCTCAGTAAATATACCTGTAAGATAATCTATATATATGAAAGCCTAAGCAAGCGTTACAACCGGTTGACCAAACGACTGGTTGACTGGTCACTATGATGCACACTGACCACCAGGGGGGCAGACACTCAACACAGGGGCTTCCGCCTGGTGGTCAGTGCTCTCCCACAGCCAACCTCCCTTGGCCGGCCAACTCCCGTGGTCCCTCCCATGGGCCTGCCAGCCCTGATCGGCCCCTATCAGGACTGGGCGAGACAGCCACGATCACAGGCCAGGCCGAGGGACCCCACCTGTGCATGAATTCGTGCACCAGGCCTCTAGTATCAAGTAATATCGCTATAGAGTTTTGAATAAACCTGTGTATCTTTGAAATCAACATCTTTAGAAATCACTGCTTTTTGAATATGCAAGTAGACTAATAGGAAGTAGACTAAATGTTTAATTTTCTTGGTTTTATCTGTGCAAATGTAATATTGTAAAGATCAGCCAGAACAAATGTATGTTAGGTTTTCTTAGTCATCTTTAGTGTTGATTCAGATCAGGCTCCAATCTACCAAAGTCCTCTGGTTCTTGTCAGGAAAGCCTTGCTCCTTCCCCAACCTTTTCCTTATGGTCTTATAACAGGAATCTGCTTTCTTTCTTCACAAATGATGGAAATGTGTAGCCTCTTATTTATTTTCCATAAAATTGTATTGTAATCAAATTGCAAAGTCTTTGGACAATTCACAATAGCTTGCCCTTCAAATGTGAAGCATGGTGACTTTATGTGCCACCAAGCAGGTATATTTTTGTCCAAGAATATGGGAGAAGAGATCTGAGGAGGAAACAAAAAGCATGATGAAACACATACTCCTGCAGTGTGCTTCTTAACGTTCTGATAATCTCTGACACATTTCATACATATTTACTTAGTTCTATTTCTGAGGCCTGTTCTAAAATATTTGAGTAAGCCCAGCCGGTATGGCTCAGCGGTTGAGCGTCGACCTATGAACCAGGAAGCTGCTGATTAATGATTCTCTCTCCCTCTACCTTCCTCTCTCTGAAATTTAAAAAAAATATTTGAGTAAAATGCCCAATATCTGAGAAGTACTTAGTGACGTTGTATGTGTACTGCGGGGAGGTTGGAGTAGTGTTACCATATAACCCAAGGCGGATATAATTATGATTCTTATGTTTCTCACACCTGTCACCTCCACCCTGTGTGTTCTCTGGAGCAAGCAGCTGCTTTCTCACCTGTTACTTCACTGTAGTGGCACTTGGGTATCCGCTGCTCCTGTGTCTATAAGTGAATGGTTGTGTGTTGTGCAGAAGCAGGGACACCAATGCCTGCGGCCCCTGGTTCTTCCAGGCCCGGTGATGTTGCATAAGCCAGTCTACAAGTTGTTAGCCTCGCAGAACTCGGGCTCCTCTGAAGCAGGCTTGGTCCTGTTCTCCTATCCATTCTCTGAAACCTGAGGATGTGACTTGCTTGAGGCAGGGTGTCTTCCTCAGTACAGATACACTGCAGTAAAACGTTTCATTTTCTTGGAGAAAATACAATCGGTGACACATCTCCTCTGTTGCTTTTCAAAGTAATGAGTTCTTGAATCACGCATATGCTGCTTACTATGCATCTGTCACCTAAGGCCGCGGTAGGAGCAGAATGTCGCTGTCAGGAGATGAATTTACTAGCGGAGATGTTTGTGAGGGTGCTATGGCAGTGAGATTCCAAAACAGCAACGGTTCCTAAAACTCAACAGGGAATCGGTGTGAGCACTGCTCATCATCCCATTCCTGGAGTCTAGTAAGACTGTCTAACACTTCGTGGACACATGGTAAGTCTTTGTTAAGCAAAGAATGGATTACGTGCCTGTTTCTCTCATCTATTGAAAAATCACTATAAATATTTAGAGGACCTTCTTCAGTGGGTTGAAATCCTGTAAAGTCCAGTTAAATGAAAAGGCTCACTGTGTGAAGGTTGGTTACATTGCAGGTGATCGGGTCCTACTTAAACATGGCTCTTTAAAAGGAAGTGTGTTGTGAGTCCAGGTCTTTCGTTCACGGAGAAAATTTTAATGTCAGCATTTCTCTTTCCTGGACACTTCTGTATCCCTCTTGCAGTCTTTGGGAAACAGTTTAGCTGTTTCCCAATTTTTCTAATCTTGTCCTTTATGTAGAGATAGCATGGGGCCTGATAGACTTACCTGGTCAGGCTCTCTTGTAGCAAAGATCTAAGACCTAGGGGATTTTTTCATAACCGTGTCCCTTACACAGGTGAAATGTGTTAACATTGGTGATAACACACCCAGAACAGTAGAATATGAAATGGATAAAGATTGTCAGGAACAAGCCAGTATGGGACCTTGATTTGAGCGTCTTGTAATTGTCTTTTTACATTGTGGGTCGACTGTTAAATGACCTATACTTTCCTCCTCCAGGTCTACTTGTCATGCGCTATGAGAGCACCGTGCTGGTGCTGAATTTACTCTGACCCGTTTCATTCTGTCTGCAATAGGGTAGGGAATAAACAAACATTAAGCTGTGAGAAACACTAAAGCCTGCATAAACCATCCTTGTAGCAGCCTAAACCCAGTTGGTCTTATGCTTTTCAGTAGTTGTCCTAACTTGAAGTAAATCTGTTGTAAAATTTTTGCCATGAACAATGAAGTTATTTGGAATATAGTACAATAAAGGAGAAAACATCTTGAATCAACTTTTCCAATTAAATATATTAGAATTATATGTAAAAGGTAAATTTGTGGGAAATAATCGTGTACTGTGGACTGAAAGGTCCCAGGTTCGATTCCGGTCAAGGGCATGTACCTGGGTTGCGGGCACATCCCCAGTAGGAGATGTGCAGGAGGCAGCTGGTCAATGTTTCTCTCTCATCGATTTTTCTAACTCTCTATCTCTCTCCCTTCCATAAAGGAGAAAACATCTTGAATCAACTTTTCCAATTAAATATATTAGAATTATATGTAAAAGGTAAATTTGTGGGAAATAATCGTGTAATATTTGTTTCCTTTCTGCTAATAAAGTTTTGAAGATGTAAATGTGAATACAAATTAAATCGTAAGCAGAAAGGTTCTTACAAGAAAACTCTTTTATCACAAAGTTCAAATATTCTCTAGTCAGTTCTTGCTTTCCATTTTGGTTAAGGAATTCTGTTAATTTTCTTATAACTATCTATCTTATATAATAAAAGGCTAATATGCAAGTTGTCCCCTCAATCAGGAGTTTGACCAGGGGGCAGGGCCAGCCAGCCAACCTCCTGCTTCCCCTCCCCCACCTGGGCCCTTATCAGAGTGGGCCCGCCAGACCCCACCTGTGCACAAATTCATGCACCGGGCCTCCAGTGTAATAATCTTCAGAAAACCCAAAGCAAAAGTAAATTATGAGAATGAAATAAACTGTGCATATACATGCATGTTTGCAATCAGAGAAATGAAAATAATGAAAAATAAAACGGTTGTTTATCTTTGGGTAATAGAATTCCAAGCAATTTCTTTTTCTGTAACTTCTGCGATAAGCATGCATGACTTTTATAATTAGAAAAATTACACTGTTAATGTGTTAATTACCAATGTAGTTTTATCTTAATCTTCTAGATGGAAACTACTGATGTGCTTGGAGAAATTTTGTGTATAAATAATAATTTGATACCATGGTTTGCTTGTTTTTATATAATGCCTCAATATCTTAAAAATGATATAAGCTGCTGCTTGGTATCAAAGGAACCTGAGAAAAGAGAAATTAAAAATAGTCCGTTACTTTCCTTTTATTTTAGATGCCAGAATTCCAGAAGAGTTCGGTTCGCATCAAGAACCCCACAAGAGTAGAAGAAATCATCTGTGGTCTCATCAAGGGGGGAGCTGTCAAACTTCAGGTGAGTAGCCATCACGAAGCCTGTATTGCTAGGCCTTTATTTCTATGGTCAAGTAGACATATTAATCTCATGTTTTGCCGAAATCTCAGCAAAGAAAGTTCAGATAGATGAGCTTTGCCTATCCTTCAGAATGTAAAATCTGAAAGGTAGGTCTAGTGCTTGTCAGAAATACATAGAATGCCCTGCTGTAAACGAACAAAACCTAACAGTCTTGAAATAAATTTAGCTCTTCTTTAATATTAAGTACTAATTTAACTAATACTGTGCATAAGTATTCAACTATTTTAAGAATAATGTTAAATATGTACAGTTTCAAGTTGCTATTCCATCTTTTAATTAAATAAATCATAATAGTTAAATTAAGTTGTCACTATGTGGGATAACTGATTTTTAAAAAGTTTTTTTAAGGGATGTTTAAAAAAAATAAGGGATGTTTTAAATGTAAACTAAATCAACAGTCTGGATAGTCAGTGAAAATAAATCCTTTTTTTTTTTTTTTTTTTTTTTTTTTTGTAAAAATATTTAACCCAATCTCCTAAATTGCAAGAGCTGGCAAACTGTTACCAGGTATGATTCATTGATTGATATAGTTTATTTACCTACATAGACAAGTTACACCTAGAATGTAACAGTGTCAGTGACTAAGCTTCATATACTTTAAATGCTTTCATTGCATTTTTGTACATTGACCCAGGGGGTTGAAATTGTGCAGTGTTTTATGGCCTGCAATTGCAAATTCCTATACTGATTAATCAGTAGATTCCATGTGGTAACGCTTGGGCACATAAGATATTGCTTGCAGTTAAGGTAATTCTCAGGGCTTTGTATATGAGCTGCATTAGAAAACTCAGTGTAGAGGGAATAGCTTATCATGGGGGCTGGGCACTGAGCACAGTCTTGTGCCTCCGGCAAGCTTGCAGATACGCGTCTGGCCTTGCAGCTGTGTTTTCAGATTGGTTTTTCCCCTTTTCTTACAGATAATAACAGACTTTGATATGACACTGAGTAGATTTTCCTACAAAGGAAAAAGATGTCCAACATGTCATAGTAAGTGTGGCCCTATTAACAAATTCACGAAAGCAACCATTATTTTAAGATCCTTTTCTACTGATACTATGTATGAGATTGGGTTGGTTTTTTTAAAAATCTTTATTGTTCAGATTACATTTGTTCCTCTTTTTTTCCCCCATAGCTCCCCTCCACCCGTTCCCACACCACCCTCTGCCCTTACCCCTCCCCCACTGTCCTCATCCATAGGTGTACGATTTTTGTCCAGTCTCTTCCCGCACCCCCACCCCCTTCCCCGCCCCCCCCCCGAGAATTGTCAGTCCACTCCCTTTCTATGCCCCTGATTCTATTATATTCACCAGTTGATTCTGTTCAGATTTTTTATTCACTTGATTTTTAGATTCACTTGTTGATAGATATGTACTTGTTTATAATTTTTATCTTTACCTTTTTCTTCTTCTTCCTCTTAAAGAATACCTTTCAGCATTTCATATAATACTGGCTTGGTGGTGATGAACTCCTTTAGCTTTTTCTTATCTGTGAAGCTCTTTATCTGACCTTCAATTCTGAATGATAGCTTTGCTGGGTAGAATAATCTTGGTTGTAGGTTCTTGCTATTCATCACTTTGAATATTTCTTGCCACTCCCTTCTAGCCTGCATAGTTTCTGTTGAGAAATCAGCTGACAGTCGTATGGGTACTCACTTGTAGGTAACTAGCTGTTTTTCTCTTGCTGCTTTTAAGATTCTCTCTTTGTCTTTTGCTCTTGGCATTTTAATTATGATGTGTCTTGGTGTGGTCCTCTTTGGATTCCTTTTGTTTGGGGTTCTCTTCGCTTCCTGGACTTGTAAGTCTATTTCTTTCACCAGGAAGGGGAAGTTTTCTGTCATTATTTCTCCAAATAGGTTTTCAATATCTTGCTCTCTCTCTCTTCTTCTGGCACCCCCATAATTCGGATGTTGGTACGCTTGAAGTTGTCCCAGAGGCTCCTTACACTACTATCTTCATATTTTTGGATTCTTTTTGCTTTTTGCTTTTCCGGTTGGGTGTTTTTTACTTCTTCGTACTTCAAATCTTTGACTTGATTCTTGCGATCCTCTAGTCTGCTGTTGGATCTCTGTATAATATTCTTTATTTCAGTCAGTGTATGCTTAATTTCTAGTTGGCCCTTTTTCATATCCTCGAGGGTCTCACTAGACTTATTGAGGGTCTTACTAAATTTATTGACGGTTTCTAGAAAATTCTTGAAAAACCTTAAAACCATGGTTTCGAACTCTATATCCAGTAGTTCGCTTTCCTCCATTTCTGTCATTTGTGACCTGTTTCTTTGTCTCCGCATTTTGGCTGCTTTCCTGTGTTGATAGAGTGGTTTTCTGTGCTAGGTGTCCTATAGGGCCCAGTGGCTCAGCCTCCCCAATTACCTGAGGTGGACACTCTTGGTGTACCCCTTTGTGGGCTGTGTGCACAGTCTTGTTGTAGTTAAGCCTTGATTGTAGTTGGTATCACTGGGAGGAATTGACCTCCAGGCCAATTGGCTGTGAGAATCAGCTGTGTCTACAGTGGGAGAACTTCTGTGCTGGAGACACCCTTATGGGGCAAGACTTGTTTCAGTGGGGCTTTGGTGCTCACTGAGTCTGCCCCCTGAGTGTGTCCCTTATGGATCTGAGGAGTTGTAATTGGATGGTCCCACTCTGACCACTGGGTACACTGGCTCTTGGATCTAAGGAGGTGCTAATTTAGCCTCTGCCTGAGGCTACCCAGCAGGAGGTACGGAGAGATCTGCAGATTCCTCTTATTTGTTTGGGGTTTGGAGGTGCCCAGATGAGGCCCAGCTGTGAAGCAATGCAAGCTGCTTTGGGGCCTTGGGCCTTCTTTTGGATGTTCTGGGTCTCTCTGACCCAGCTGCAGTTTGTTAGGTAATTTTAGATTGCAAAGGGCCAGGTCATTCATATGCAAAAGCCTCTGCACACAGCTTGGGTGGGGCAGGGTCTCAGGGAATCAACAGGGCGGAGCGAACAGCTATGGCTGATCCTCAGTCCTGCCCTAAGAGGCCCCCAGGTCTCAGTGTTCCGCGGTAATCGCCCCAAGCACCTCTGAGAGAAAGCCACCCTCGAGTTCTGCCTGCTGCCAGACAGTCCAGTTTCTCCCCATATGAGTCTGGGTCCCCACAGACTCACCCAGAACTGGAGTCAGGGCCATCGGAAGCTTGAGACTCCCTCCCGATTGAAAAAGACAACCGTGTCCTCAGTTGCCAGCCCTTTCCTCGTGCACCTCCGTACCTCTGCACTTTACTTCTGCACCTCCTCTGAGTCTCAGTGTGCTTTTCTCTTTCCTTCTAGTTGTGGAATTTCCACTCAGCCAGCCTTCCTGTGGTTCTGGATAATGTACGTTTTGTCTTTTAGTTGTATTTTTGAAGTGGTTGTGCGAGGCAGCAATTTCAGGTGTTTACCTATGCCGCCATCTTGGTTTCTCGAGATTGGGGTTTTTTAATCTTCTTTTTGGACATTGAAAGTGAGGGGATCTGCTTTTTTACCCCAAGATCAGACGAGATTGGGTGCGTTCAGGGTGGTATGGCCATAGACCAGCTTTTTCTTATTATATGTTTAGGGTTTATTTTTCCCCCCATCCTATATAATAAAAGCATAATATGCAAATCGACCGAATGGTGGAATGACCAGTCACTATGATGCGCACTGACCACCAGGGGGCAGACACTCAATGCAGGAGCTTCCCCCTGGTGGTCAGTGCACTCCCACAGGGGGAGCACCGCTCAGCCATAAGCCAGGCTGACAGCTGGCAAGAGCAGTGGCAGTGGCGGGAGCTTCTCCTGCCTTCGCAGTGCTAAAGATGTCCCACCGACATCCCCCGAGGGCTCCATAACTGCTAAACTTCCGAAGTTTAGCGGCTAAAGGGTGCAGGCCGAGCTGAGGGACTCCTTCCCCCTCCCCTCAAGTGCACGAATGTTGTGCACCGGGCCTCTAGTGTTATATAAAGGGCTATTTTCTGTATGGTTTTGGTTGCGAGAGGAATAAAGAAGTCTGAAATTTTTCTCTCCAAATGTGGTCTGTTCATTACTCAAGACAAATTTAAATGGATTTTCAATTTTGGGTTAACCTACAGAAATAGCATTTATTAATTAGTAACATGTTACTAAATGCTTGTGTCGTTTATATGTAAATTAGTTAAGGAATACGTTATTAAATAAATACTGAGTTAAAATGTGTTGCTAAGATAAGATGCCTATTTTGTTTTCTAAATGAGACAATTTCGTTTTTAAAATAATAATACTCACCCAGCCAGCATGGCTCAGTGGTTGAGGTCATGAACCTATGAACCAGGAGGTCACAGTTTGATTCCCGGTCAGGGCACATGCCTGGGTTGTGAGCTCGATCCCCAGTAGGGAGTGTGCAGGAGGCAGTCAATCAATGATTCTCTGTCATCATTGATATTTCTCTCTCTCTCTCCCTCTCCCTTCCTCTCTGAAATCAATAAAAATATATTTTTAAAAATAAATAGATAAATAAAATAAAAATACTCACCCAGCTGGTATGGTTCAGTAGTTGAGCATTGACCTATGAACCAGGAGGTCACAGTTTGATTCCCAGTCAGTGCACATGTCTGGGTTATGGGCTCGATCCCCAGTTGGCAGTGTGCAGGTGGCAGCCAATGAATGATTTTCTCTCATCATTGATGTTTCTATCTGTCCTGCTCCCTTTCTCTCTGAAATCAATAAAAATATATATTTTTAAAAATACAAACTACACTGTAAAGTGAAAAAGAAAGCTGAATTCAAAAGTATAGATCTGGTTTAATTGCTATCTATTTGATAATGCATAAAACTTTAAGAATGAAAGGAAATATAATAAAGTGTTAATAATTTATTATTAAGTGATAAAATTGTAATTTTTGTTCTCCTTACAATCTGTGTTTTCCAGATTTTCGCATTATTAATGTTTTATTAAGAAAGAAAGTATATTTCAAAGGTGTATTCCCTGCTTCTATTTAATGGTGTTAAAGGGACCAGTCACTATACAACTCACAGTGTTCGAAGACTTTGAATTATCTAGCTCAGTGGTATAACCGAGCAGTCACAAAATCATGCATTTTAAAACCATTAGATTCTCTAGCAATGCCATGTGGGTAGCACCACTCCAACAGTTGTAATGACTATGCTAGTTGACTTGGCATTTAAACTGAAAAGAAAAGTAGTAAGTTATTCATCTATGAGAGTACTTCTTTTCATCCCTTGTTTGCTTTTTCTCTTTAGATGTTATTGACAACTGTAAGCTGGTTTCAGATGAATGTCGAAAAAAGGTAAAAGCACTAACAATAATCCAGTTATGAAAGGCTTCATTACCATTTTTGCCTGAGAATTTCTTCAGGTTCATTCACACAAACGAGAATGAATGCAAAGTGCTTGTAGCCATACCTGGAACATAGTAAACACTCAGTAAATGTTAGGTTTATTCTTTGGATTACAGCACTCAACTTCTTTTAAAGAAAAAATTACCAGTAACATTTTAATAACAACAAAACTTACACGAAAAACTTAAATGATTACCAAAATATTCTGGTATCTTTACATTAACTGGAAAGTTAAACAAAACTACTTTGGTTTTACTCCTTTAAATTGATCAGGAAATTGCCTTAGTTCTCTGCTTTTTTGAGTAGGTGTCTGTATCTCTTTTAACAAAATAAGATTCCAAAGATGAATCAAATTTAATACTTTCATATGAGAATGAAAATGTTTTTGTAGTGATAGTATGATTATTAGTTGGTTTCACTGAATTGCTGAGCTGAAAGTACTTTAAAAAAAAAAAGAAAAGCAGCCTTTTGCTGGTCTATTTAGTTACATGTAAACCTAAACCAACAAAGATCTTTTCAGTTGCTATATGTAATAGATACTCATACTCCAATCTTTACCATTTAAAGCAGTTCATGGAAAACAGTTGACTACATTGTTTTGCTTCCTATAAAATTAAGCAGCTTAATGGCAACTCTGCAGCCTTCGTGATTTAGGTATTTGTTTCTTTCTAGTTACTGGAACTAAAGGAAAAATTTTATGCTATTGAAACTGACCCTCTTCTTACGGTAGAACAGAAGAACCCTTATATGGTAGAATGGTAAGTGTGTGTTCACCATGGGAGGGTTCAAATATAACAACCTTACATAACAGTTAGAACTAATGGTGTCTTCCCCCCTGGACCATGTGCACATAGATTAATACATTGTCCAATGAGTTAGAGCAAGTGATTAAATATAACAAAACAAACAAATTCTCTCATCACTCTCACAGTCTAGAATTAGTTTTGTTCTGCTTTGTTCTTGAAGATGAAGATCGGTAGGAATAAATTTAAAATTCTGCACCTAAGCCTGAAACTCAAAACAAGAATTTGTGTTCTCTGAAGTCTATGGACAAGATGTGGCTCAGTGTGTCCAGAAAACGACGTAGGATTTGGATGGACTCTGTGCTGAGCTGGAGCCGGCGGGGACAGTGCTGAGAACCAGCCGGCCTCTGCTGATGGTGCATTCATGGAAGTGCGCCCCTCCCTCTAGGCAGAGCACGCTGCCAGCACGGTGTTGCCTCCGGGGAGAACACTGGAGAGATGCTGACGCTCAGAGGGTCGGAGCAGCCACTAAGATAGGCCCAGACACTGGAGCCGCTCCATTTGAGGAACGTTTCAAAGAATGGAGACTTTTGATCTGAGAAGTAACATCGAGTGGTTTTAGAATCTTAAGAGACCAGAAATGATGTTGTTTATATTCATTATCCCATCACCTAACGGCGTACCTTGCACACTTCATCAGTGTTTATGGTGGGAAGTGTTGAAAAGAGGTTCGACTCACTCAACATGCGGAACTGGAACCAGACATGGAAGGCTTAGAACATGGATTTCAGCACGATGGCAGGACTGTCTAGCAATTAGAATGTTCTAGCAATGGTATAGCTTCCCAGGGAGAATGAGCTCACTAGCAGGATGGGAGCCACCCAGAGAGGGGGTTTCACTGAAGAGTATTATAGGGGGGATTTGTGGGTGTCAGGTGGAGAGGTTCTAAAGGCCTGTTATACTGAGACGGTGTGATTACAGGTGCTTTTATGTGATTACAAAGCACCTATATGTGGATAAAACTTCCCAGAGCAAGGATCTTCTCTTTTGCTCACTAGGCAGCATCTTCAGTGCTTAGGCATTCCATGAAAATTCAGACTCCAGGCCGGTGAAAAATGGCTTTCCTCCAATTCTTCCTGGAATCAAAGAAATGATTATGCTTCCTGAGGTTGGAGCTCTTATCCGTAGACCGAGGAAAGGTTTATACCTAGAATCCTCTCATGGTCTTATTATCACACTCAAAGTAAGCCAGAGTTTGGGGAGAACTGGGAAATGCAGTGAGAACATGTGTATCATCTTTTGAGACATGCGAGGTATATGTTCATTAGTAATGAATGTAAAGATCTGAAATTTAAATCCAAACTAGCATAAATGAAATACTGCATTTTCACATACCAAAGAATGCTTTGTCATAAGGAGAAGAGTTTTAATTCGCTTTCATTGATTTTCTTTTTTCTTTGGGCATAAACTCCAGGTACACTAAATCACATCGCCTGCTTGTTGAACAGGGTATACCGAGAGCTAAACTTAAAGAAATTGTGGCAGAATCTGACATTATGCTCAAGTAAGTTTCATGGGTGTTTTTTGTTGTTAATTGTCTACAGACCTGACCTGTTACATGCCGTATTCAAGTGTATATTTTTATTAAAATAATCTATAAGAATATCCCATATAAAAACATATCCAGAACATGCCGCCTATCACATAATAAAAGTGGCGAGATAAGGAACTGAGAATGACACATCAGATCACGGTGCAGGGAATGAAAGCCTATGAGCTTGAAGCACTAATTTACATTTTCTTTCTCCACATTTAAAATCTCAAGACTTACAAAGTTAGGAAAAACAAGACCATTTTGAGGTGTTGTGTTTTTTTTTAGCAAAAGTACTTTTCAAAGATATGAAATATAAAAAAAGAATGTTTATAAGTCAAATTGAAAAGTGTTTAGCTAAGTACCCTGTTTTCATGATGTACCCTCTTTTAAACTTGTCATAATCTACTTTCTGAATTCTCCAAGTCCCTTGAAAACGATCTGTAGGAAAGGTGCATATGTTTTAGCAAATAAAATATTTCTATTAGGTGAATTATTGGATATTAACATGTTAAAGCTTATTTTCAATTCTGTTTACTACCTCTTAAATTCTTCAGCTCACTAGGCAAATATGATGCTATTTCTTTTTTCTTTATTCCTTTTTTTTTTTTTTAATGATAATGCTACATTAAAGGTGATTTACTTCTGAGGAAAGCATTCAATTGTCAGAGTGTGAGGACTGCTAGTATTTCATTCCTTTGTTGGGCAGCTTATCCTAGAGCCAGGGAGAGTGAAACAGGAAGAGAGATTTTAGGATGAAAACATTACCTGTAGCTGCCACATTCTGGCAGGAGAGAGGCCAGGTGTGAAGGAATCCAGCTCGGTCCCTGCTTTTCCAGCAATAGGGAGGAGATGAGTAGAATGACAAGCAGCAGGTCTTGCAGCTCACCCCAAATGGGGTTTCCAAGCTGAAGTTTAATGATTTGCTGTTCACTAGTATAAATTCTGAACTGTGGGCTTCTCCATATTCAATGCGAGTCTAAAATCATCTCATTTTTACTATGAGAATTTACTAAAAGGAGGGTAAAAAGTTAACTGTTGTTTGAAAAACTTGTGCTAGTATCAGACATCAGTAACAGTACCCTTGGGCTTTATTTTGAAATGAGAACTAAGTGAATCATAGAAATATGTGGCTTTTTAAACATCTAGGGGAAAAAGAGATTTGTCTTCACTCCTAACAGTCAGACCGTACTTCCGCCTTGCAGGGAAGGATACGAGAATTTCTTCGATAAGCTCCAACAACACAGTATCCCCGTGTTCATATTCTCGGCTGGCATCGGAGATGTACTGGAGGAGATTATCCGTCAAGCTGGCGTTTATCATTCCAACGTCAAAGTAGTGTCCAACTTCATGGATTTTGATGACAATGTAAGAATATCAGGTCATTCCTTATCATTACTTTTAAAACCTGAAAATATTCTAATCATGTCAATGCATTTGTTATTTATTATTTCGTGTGTGCTCATTACATGAGGCCAAGTTCATAGGCCCACAATAGGCCTCATCATCTCTCGCAGTGTTGTATCCATACCCATGTTTCAAGCATAATACCTCTGCTCAAACTTTTGTTCCCCAAGCTACAGACTAATCTTAAAATTAGTAAATTGTCTAATGTAATGTAATGCAGCAACTCTAAAGAATTCACATCCATGGATGGGGAAAAAAGAAGTGGCTTAGAACTAACGTCATTTGAACTAGTTCTTCTAGTCAAGACAATTTAACGTACATAAAATGGCACCTTTTGGTTAGGAACCAAATGAAAAGTAAAAAATTGGGCTTTCAACTCATGTTTAACATTTAAAGTATCTCTAGAAAGTCATTTACTTCTCAGAGTCCTTCTTACCTATCATGAATGGGAAACTACAACAAGTAAAATATGTAAAGCCTGTTATTTCACAGGATTTATGTCTTTTGAATAGGGAGTGCTCAAAGGATTTAAGGGAGATCTGATTCATGTGTTTAACAAACACGATGGTGCCTTGAAGAACACAGATTATTTCAATGAACTGAAAGACAACAGCAACATAATTCTGCTGGGAGACTCCCAAGGAGACTTAAGAATGGCAGATGGAGTAGCTAATGTTGAACACATTCTGAAAATTGGATATCTAAATGATAAAGTAAGTATGTAAATCTCATTTCCTTTTAAGGAAAAACTAGGGTTGTCCTGGCCAGTGTGGCTCAGTTGGTTGGGTGTCGTCCCTTACACTGGAAGGTTGCTGGTTCGATTCCCAGTCAAGGGCACATGCCCGGGTTGTGGGCTCAATCCCCAATAGGGCGAGTACAAGAGGCAGCTGACCAATATTTTTTGTTTGTTTGTTTGTTTGTTTTAAATATATTTTTATTGATTTTTTACAGAGAGGAAGGGAGAGAGATAGAGAGTTAGAAACATCGATGAGAGAGAAACATCGACCAGCTGCCTCCTGCACATCTCCTACTGGGGATGTGCCCACAACCCAGGTACATGCCCTTGACCGGAATCGAACCTGGGACCTTTCAGTCCGCAGGCCAACACTCTATCCACTGAGCCAAACCGGTTTCGGCTAGCTGACCAATGTTTTGCTCTCACATCGATGTTTCTCTCTCCCTCCCTGTCTAAATATAAATCAATAGAAATGTCTCGTTTTGTTTTAAAAAGGGAAAAACTAGGGTGAAACTTGGCCGGTAGTTGCTACCCCAGGTTCCTGAGAAAGCAGTTCTTTTGGAGCGTCCGGGTTGCTCTTTACCCCTTCCCTGTGGTGATGAGTAAAGGAGCTGGTGTGCACGGTGGGTGGTGGGAAGGAAGGGTGTGCATTGTAAAAGGCCTCTCTGGCCTCTTCTCCCTCGATGCCAATAGCACTCCCCGGTCAGGAGAATAAAAAACTTAGCCATTGCCAAATGTTCCCTGGGCACCTTAATCCCATTTGAGAACCATTGGAATAGAGAGAATTCTTTTAGGGAGAAAAGCCCCTAAGAGGAAAAATATCTGTCAATGAGCCTTAAGAATCTTTTTTTTTTTTTAATATATTTTATTGATTTTTTTTTTAAATATATTTTATTGATTTTTTACAGAGAGGAAGGGAGAGAGACAGAGAGTTAGAAACATCGATGAGAGAGAAACATCGATCAGCTGCCTCCTGCACATCTCCCACCAGGGATGTGCCCGCAACCCAGGTACATGCCCTTGACCGGAATCGAACCTGGGACCTTTCAGTCCGCAGGCCGACGCTCTATCCACTGAGCCAAACCGGCTTCGGCAATTTTATTTATTTTTTACAGAGAGGAAGGGACAGGGATAGAGAGTTAGAAACATCAATGAGAGAGAAACATTGATCAGCTGCCTCTTGCACACTCCCTACTGGGGATGTGCCCGCAACCAAGGTACATGCCCTTGACAGGAATTGAACCTGGGACCCTTGAGTCCGCAGGCTAATGCTCTAGCCACTGAGCCAAACCGGTTAGGGCAAGAATCTTTTTTTTTAATTGATTCTAGAGAGAGGAAGGGAGAGAGAGAAACATCGATGAGAGAGAAACATCAATACTGTTCTGCTGCCTCCTACACGCCCCCTGTTGGGGATCGAGCCCGCAACCCATGCATGTGCCCTGACGGGGAATCGAACCCATGACCTCTTGGTGCATGGGTTGACACTCAACCATTGAGCCACACCAACCGGGCAAACCTTAAGAAGTTGAATATTTCCTATAAATAAATAAATAAAATGAAAAATGAAAAAATGAAATAAATAATTAAAAAAGAATTTGAATATTGAAAAGTACTGCTTCATTTCAAATGTTTCATGAAAGTTAATTTAGTTTTTTATTAAATTCACTTTCATAAAACATTTTTTGCCTAACAGATTTAACATAACAATGTGGTTCCTACTGAAATTATTTGCTTCTCCCTGGATATTAATCCTTATGGTTTTTGTTGTTGTTGTTGATTAGGTGGATGAGCTTTTAGACAAGTACATGGACTCTTATGATATTGTTCTAGTCAAAGAAGAATCCTTGGAGGTAGCCAACTCTATCTTACAGAAGATCCTGTATAAGTGAGCATTCTTCAAGGGGACGCCTGTCCTGTGGGTGCAACGGATGCAGGAACCGCTCGTGTGTTCAGCGTGTGAAAGACTTTTATTTATAACATATCCTTGCTCAGACATGCTGAATCCATCAACCGGAACCTCCCTGTTTTCTGCCTCTCTCGACACACTCCTCACCATATTTTTTAACATTAAAAAAAAAAATCTTAAAGTCAAAATTTGAAAAAACTGCCTACATTTCCAGAGTGAATTTTGCAATTTATTGTTAAGAAGTTTTTGAGGAGTCTTTTTACGTGTGTGTGATTTTAAGTATTGACATTTTTGTGATTTGAGTGAATTATGCTGATGGTATCACCATCTCCTAAAATTGTGTTTGTTAAGGTTTTTGGGGGAAGTTGAAACTTACAAGAACATACTAGCACATGGTGTTGGAAAAACTTGGTATCCACATGTCACTAATCATTATAAAATGTTCTGTATTGATGCACTGATAATAAACATGAAATGAAAAGTCTTTTTAATTCTATTGGCAAGATCATCATTCATTCATTCAACAAATACTTATTCGGCACCTGCTGGGTTTATCTTGTATGTGCTTGATAACCTTGCAGTCAGGCCAACTTCCCTGCCAAAATGAATTTTTTTTCTCTGTCTTAAGTGGTAATTTTGAAATGCTGTATAGCCCTGGCCAGTGTGGTTCAGTTGGTTGCCACACTCAGGTCACTGGTTCAATTCCTGGTCAGGGCACATGTCCGGATTACGGGCTCGATCCCCAGTCAAGGGTGTGCAGGACACAGCCAATGGATGGTTCTCGCTCATCGATGTTTCTCTCCCTTCCCCTTCCTTTCTCTCTATAAAATCAATAAAAACATATTTTCTTAAAAAGAGAAAAGAAAAACTATATAAATTCCTAAGTAATCTGAGATCAAATGCACTAGGTTTTAACAAAATAGTGCAGACTGCTTATGCTTGCAAAGTAGCCTTATGGTTTGTTTGTCTGTAGAGAGGAAGCGGGAGAGAGAAACATCGATTTTTGTTCCACTTACTTATGCATTCACTGGTTGATTCTTCTATGTGCCCTGACCGGGGATCGAACCTTGGTGCACCTGGACAGCACTCTAACCAACATGGCTACCCAACCAGGGTGCCTCGTGATGTTTCAAGCACACAGGTCACATGTATGCTTAGATGTCAGATTCTCTAAAATACTCTAATCCCCAACTAGCATCGAAGACGTAGTTCATGTTTCAGGCCCAAAGTTCAAAATCTGTGTCGTAAGCCCGGTGGTCCTAAGGCAGAGACTGGCCATCTGTTCTATCAGGAAGTCCAAGCTGCCTCAAGGGGCAACACAGAAATCGAGTGTGAAATGTGATGAAGGAAAATGCTGTGTGTGGCACCTCCACCCTCTGTTTGGGCCTCATTAGTACTCACGGCCTTGGCGGGCAGAGCTGTAACCCACAATCATAATGCAAATGTGAGCGAGTGTTGCCGCAGCTTCACAAAGTGAGGCCAGCCAAGCGCACGGAGTCCCTAGGTTGCTTCTGCAAAAAGTAAGCACCGTTTGATTTTTAAAAACATACATGTATTTCCCCCATACATGTGCCCATTGTTCTCCATTTGCTCCCACCCCAACCCCTATTCATTCTCCACCTTTCTCTGCTTCCAAAGAGGCTGATCTCTAACACCAGCCCCCGAGTTCCTTTTCCTCTGTTTCGGACTGGGTTCAGCGACTGGGAGCCAGTGGCAGGGCAGAGGACACTCCCCCCGCCCCATCTGCTGCTGCACCAGCCACAGCTCCGGACGGACGGACGTGCCTCAGGCCCTGTCTACGCTCCCCTTGACCCTTCAGGCCCAGGGAGAAGCAGCCTCCTGCTGTTGCTGCCACCAGCTGTCCCTGGTACCTTGACATTCTTACTGAGTCCCAGAGTCCTGTGCACACCTCTGCAAACAGTCCTGTCATTACCCTCCCTGCAGAAGTCCCCAGGAGGGCCTTTCCCGCCAGGACCCTGAGCCTACACCCTCTAACTCTCTCCCAAGTCAACACAGCGAGGTCCTGCGAGTTCTGATCCAGGGGATTCTGACTGCACGGTATATTCCCACGGGGTCCTCTCCGCCTTCCAAGAAAACACCACAAAGCCTGGTGAGAGAATTCAACGTTTTATATACGAAAAGATGGGTTTTCCAACATTCAATTGAACGAGTGCATGGCGTTTTCGTGGACTACCTCAGAGCTACATCAGTACAAAACAGTTTAAATTAGTAACAGAAAGCCGTTTCAGAAGGAAAAGCGTGGGTCACTTCGGGGAGGGGAGGCGGTGCCATCACCGGTGGGGAACAGAGGAGATAAGACAGCAAGGTGTTCAGGGCACAACGTGGACGGGCCCCGGGGGGCAGGGTCCTTGTTACGCAGAGCGAGGCCCGGGCCTCGGGGCCCTCCCTCTCCAGGAGGCAGAGGAGCAGCCTGTCCCCTTGTTTATGCTCATCGGCTGGGAAGACATGGCCACCTGGGCCACAGGGAGACGCTCTGCAGCTCGGCTCGGCCGCGGGCCCTGCACGCATCTATCTGATCAAAGGACTCGGGGCAGAGTGACGGGGCTGAGACGGTGAAGCAGGTGCTCTCGCGTGGCAGACGCAGTCACGTTCTCTACCCGTGGGCCTCCATGCCTTTTGTGTGGTCCCCAATTTTTCACCTCCAAGCTACCCAACCAATCGGAGGACCACAAGGGCATGGGGCGATTAAGTAGAAAAGCGTGTGTGTGTGTGTGTGTGTGTGTGTGTGTGCGTGTGTGTGCGTGTGTGTGTGTGTGTGTGTGGAGGAGGAGGTGAAGGCTGGGCCAACCAGAAGGTACTGTACAGGCCGCTGAGAAGTTTTCGGGGGCTTTCTGGGAACCCCACTGGGCATGCCCTTTGCTTTTCCTGCCCGTCCGGACAACGCTTATAAAACACCAGCAAGTTAAAAAAAAATTTTGTCTTAATCCTCTTTACACAGATATCCTGGATTTTTTCTTCTGTTCCCTGCAGGATGGTTATAACTTCTATACGACTCTATTTTCCCTTAATAACAAAACTACCCGGAAGGCCCGCAGAACATGGTTGGCAGCGCCGCCTTTTCAGTATCCCACACAGCCCGTGCGAAGGCCCCTCCCACCGATGCAGTCTAACACCCTGGCGTTTGGCCTAAAATTCTCACGTGTGTATCGACCCAGCCTTGATGTGTGGCCACCTGCACTTGCTGACAATTCACCTTCCGAGAGAGCCTGGCGCCCTCCCAGCACGCTCCGCCGCCACGGGGCTTGGCGTCACACACGGGGCTCCTCGGGCTCAGAGTTCATCGTGCTTGGCCTCCTGGTCTTTGAGCTTGAACTCCTCGGCCGTGACCTTGCCGTCTGCGTTGCGGTCCTGGTTGGTGAACATATTCTTCACAATCATCTCAGCATCAAAGCCGGGAGCGAGCTTCCCTTTGCCGGATGCCACCTGGGCATGAATGTACTCCGAGAACTGGAAAGGGGAGGGACAGGCTCAGACCCAAACAGAATGGGGTTTGCATCCGAGCTGGCAGAACAGGAAATCCTCTGAGCTACGCAACCTGGGTTTTCCCCTCCAGATGCGGGTTAGAAACCGCCGACTGAGTGACTCCAGCAGCCCTTAGGTTCCAGGTGGGCAACCCCGTGGCTGCTGGAGCTCCCCCTCCCCCGAAATCAGCCCTTCGTTCTTCACAAAGACAGGCCCCTGACCACCCAGCCCTGGAGAACACTGCTGCCCACACAAGAAAAATCTATCATCTACCGTGTCCTAGAGCTACATCAACACACAAACAAAACTTCCTGCATCTGTAACTCCAGCATCTTCTGGTAGGAAAGACGCACAATTAAAAATGAGCATAAAAAATAAGCTCCATATTAAGTAAGAAAGGGGAATGCTCTAGAAAAACAAACAAGTAGAGCCAAGTAAGGAAGATCCGAAGCCCCAGTGGGCAAGGGGGTTGAAGTATGAATTCGGGAGCAGGGTCCGACGCAGGGACAAAGGGAGACTTGCGCAGAGGCTTGAAGGAAGCGAGCGGAGGTGCCAGTTATCCAGGGCAAGAGCCTTCTGGGGCAGAGAGGAGAGCGGGTGTGAGGTGGGTGGGTGCCTGCCAGGTGTTCACAGACCAGACCGGGGAGAGGAGGCCACAGCGAGCAGGCTGTGGAAAGACTCTGAAATAGGGGGTTCTGCAGGGGCCTGAGTCGAAGCGGGCCGTGATCCAACTTGTGCATCAGATCAGAGGAAAGACTCCTGAGGAGCCACCAGTGAGGTGGAAGGAACACCAAGCAGGTGAGGGGTTCTGGAAGGCGGGGGAAGAAGATGGCGTGCGAAGGAGTCAGCTGTGTCGAGGTAAGAGAGTGAGCACCGACCACTGGACTCAGCAATAGGAAAGGCACCAGTCCCCTGGCAAGACCAGGTGCAGTGCTACTGTGAGCAAGCCAGTCGCCGGGGAGATGCTGACGGCGTGAGAGAAAGGGGAGAAGGCTGGGGCGATGGCCCTGCACGAGCAGGCACGGAGCAGGTGGGAGTGGACGGCAGCAGGGTTGTGACGGACAGAGGACTCTACTACCCAGCTCCACCAGGGTGTCTGCACAGGAGGCACAACACTAGATGCTCAAACAGGGGTGTGGGTCCTGGCTCCCACCCCGGGGGAGCTGGGTGGCCTGGGGCAAGTCATCGACCTTCTCTGTGCACAGCTGCTTCCTCTGAAAACTAGGGATGATTCCGTGGCTGTCGTAAGGGCCAAGCAAGATAACAGATGGGAAAACAGCATGCCAGGCACGCAGCGAGCGCCCAGGAACTGGACCTGACCCAGAGCCGAGACCCTGGAATCAGTCCCTGTAGCTCTCAGTTTCTGCAAAGAGCTTCGATTAGAGCAGCGGTTCTCAACCTGTGGGTCTCGACCCCTTTGGCGGTCGAACGACCCTTTCACAGGGGTCGCCTAAGACCATCCTGCATATCAGATATTTACATGACGATTCATAACAGTAGCAACATGACAGTTATGAAGTAGCCACGAAAATAATTTTATGGTTGGGTCACAACATGAGGAACTGTATTTAAAGGGCCAGAAGGTTGAGAACCACTGGACTAGAGCGTGCGTGTGAGAGGGCTTGGTGCTTGTGTGTGGAGGGTCTCACCAGCACAGAGGTGAACACAGGTGTCCTCCCCACGCTGGGAAGGCTCCCTGGGCTCCTCTGGTCCCACCTGCCTGCGAAGGTCGGTTACCTCTTCCAGGAGGACTTCTCCGTTGCCGTCCTTGTCGATTTCTTCGAAGAGGTTGGATGACACCTCGTCGTTCCATATGAACATGTACCCCTCCGGCAGGCCGGCCACCAGCTCCAGCAGCTCAATGTCAAACACCAGCACGGCACTGCCTGGCACTTCTCCATCTGCCTCAGCGACAGGGAGGGGAGGGTTAGCGCCATGGGGCAGTGGACAGACCCTCAGCTGCCCACCGCCCCACCCTGGCCTCCAGCCACCTCATGGCGGGCAGGCAGTTCTTGGGAAAGCAAGGAAGTTCAGCATCAGCACATGGTTTTCCCATTGGTAGGCAGTGACTGCTAGTGAGTCACCAAGTCAGCTTAGAGCAGTGGTTCTCAACCTTCCTAATGCCGCGACCCTTTCATACAGTTCCTCATGTTGTGGTGACCCCCAGCCATAAAATTATTTTCGTTGCTACTTCATAACTGTAATGTTGCTACTGTTATGAATCGTCATGTAAATATCTCATATGCAGGATGTATTTTCATTGTTATAAATTGAACATAATTAAAGCATAGTGATTAATCACAAAAATAATATGTAATTATATATGTGTTTTCCAATGGTCTTAGGCGACCCCTGTGAAAGGGTCGTTCGACCCCCAAAGGGGTCACGACCCACAGGTTGAGAACCGCTGGCTTAGAGGGTGTGACCAGCCTTTTTTTTTTAAATATATTTTTATTGATTTCAGAGAGGAAGGGAGAGGGAGAGAGAGATAGAAACACCAATGATGAGAGAGAATCATTGATCGGGTGCCTCCTACACACCCACACTGGGGATGGAGCCTGCAACCCAGGCATATGCTCTTTCTGGGAATTTAACTGTGATGGCTCATAGGTCAACACTCAACCACTGAGCCACACTGGCTGGGCCAGCATTTTTTTTTTTAAATAAAGGAACAGAATAAAACAATTAGGGTACCTTGCACGTAGGAAGGGTAAGTATCATTCCATGAAGCTTGAGTTTCCATGTTACAGATAAACCTAAATGTACATGTCTATATGTATAAATATAGATTGTATATTTACATGTAACACAGGTTAGGAGATAAAACACACTTCTCACTGTGTGTCTTGGTGATTCAAAGGCTCTAGCAGAGGCCACAGTGGGAGAGCTGAGTAGATCTCCCACTTATTCAGAGCTGTGAGGATAAGATATGCCTTCAGATCGTGGTCCAAGATGATGGCAAACACGGACTCAAGAACTGCATCTACAGCATGGCCCCGGCTTTCTCAAGAGGACGTGGGGCATTAGCCTGGCGTCAACTCTGAATCCCTGGGGGTCTTCACACAAAAATGCCAAATGCTTTTTTAAAAAATCCAACAGATTCTTTGGGTTCAAAATGGAAGAAGCAGGGCTGGGGGACAGGGTGAAGAAGGTGAAGGGAGCCCCGGCCAGGGGGGCTCAGTTGGTTGGGTGTCATCCCATGCACCGAAAGGTGCCCCATTCCATTCCCTGTCAGGGCACATATGCAGGTTGAGGGTTCAATCCTTGGTTGGGGTGGGTACTGGAGGCAACCGATAGATGTTTCTCTCTCTGAAATCAATAACATTATATTAAAAAATTTTTTAATCTGAAATAAACAAAAACCTGCCACTTACCCACGCCAGCCTCCCCGTAGCCCAGGTGTGGCGGGATGATCACTGTCCGCTTCTCCCCGACGCACATCTCCCGGAGCCCCATGTCCATTCCCAGCACCACTTGTCCAGACCCCAGGACAATATTATACGTTTTGCCTAAATTCCACCTGGAAACGAAACAGAAGCGTCCCCGGTTAGGTCACCAGCCCATTGGCACTTGAGTGTCCCCAGCACATCTCATCACTGCCAACGGCACAGATCCCCCGTCTGGTCACGAGGAAACAGACAAACCCACACAGAGGGGCACTTTGCAAAAATAAACAGACACAAATAAAACACCTATATCATCTTCAAAAGCGTCCAGATGGAAATCAGAGGGCTGAGGAAATGTTCAGGGTTAGAACATCTTGGAATGGGGCCCTTTGGCTATTAAAGACCTTAGGGGAACATTCAGCGAAATTTCATGGGGCCTGAGAGTGAAAGGTGGTGGTCTATCAGTGTCACCTTCCTGGCCTGGGTGCATGATGGAGCTACGCAGGAGAAGGAGCCGGTTGTAGGAAAAGCACACGAAAATCCTCAGCGTGATGGGACATCGTGGTGGCAATTCTCCAGGGGTTCTTTCCATGGCTCTTACAATTTTTAAGTTTCAGTCTATGTTCTAGTCAGAAATTTCCAAGGGAACGTTAAAAATAGATAACGTAGTGAAAGCCCTGCCTTGCAGATTCAGCAAGGCCTGAGTGTGAATCCTGGTTTGGCCACTGAACTTGACCCTGGGAAGTGTGATCTCAGTTCCTCCTCTACGAGGTGGAGGTAGTAATGGCTGTCGCACAGGGATGTCCTCAATCGGAGACAGTATCTTATGCTTGGCACAGTGGAGAGGACGCAAAAAGAACTCAATAAAGAGCCCTAGTCGGTTTGGCTCAGTGGATGGAGCATCGGCCTGGGGACTGAGGGGTCCCAGGTTCGATTCCGGCCAAGGGCACATGCCCGGGTTGTGGGCTCGATCCCCAGCAGGGGGTGTGCAGGAGGCAGCCGATTAATGATTCTCTCTCATCACTGATGTTTCTATCTCTCTCTCCCTCTCCCTTCCTCTCTGAAATCAATAAATATATTTTTTTTAAAAAAAGAACTCAAATAAACAGATGGCCTTGAGGGTCTTGGGTCTGTAACCCTCTTTGACTCCAGAAAAATAACTATGAGGTTAATTTGGACTGTGGTTTTTTGTTGTTTTGTTTTAAAATATATTTTTACTGATTTTCAGAGAGAGAGAAAGGGAGAAGAGGAGAGAAAACATGAATGTGAGAGGAAATCATTGATGGCTGCGTCCTGCATGCCCCCTACCAGGGGATCAAGGCCGCACCCCGGGCATGTGCCCTGATTGGGAATTGAACCAGCAACCATCCAGTGCATGGACGACGCCCAACCAACTGAGCCACACCGGCCAGGGCTGGGCCGTGGTTCCAATTACCTGTGATACCCACGGTCCCTGGGTAATCCAGACAAATGAAAGCCGGCTCTCTCACCTCCATCACTACTGAAAATAAAGGTATTTCCAAACCGATGGCAACCCTATCGCCTCCTCAGGGCAAACAGGGGTCATGTGCTTCAATGCCGAGAAGAGCACCCCCCCCCCATACTTTAGAGGCCCTTTGGAGCCCCTCACCAGCTGGTGACAACATGGGAGGGCCTGTCCCTTTGGGTCCCATCCCCATCTCAGGCTCCCAGCCTCCCCTGCAGGCTCTTTCCCGCCTCCAGCTGGTTCCCAGGGCCCGGCTGGTTCTCTGGGGCCAGGAAACCAAAGCAGGGTTTGCATTCGTCCTACCTGGGACGAAGCAGAAGTCAGCCACTGGCACAGGCAGCCCTGGCCGGGGCCTGCGGGAGGGGCGCCCGTCCACCCGACACAATCCCTCCTTTGTCAGCAGCACAGAGGCGCCTTCTTACGGCTCTTCTCCAGGGACCGGCGGGGCCCTCCCAGGGGACCACGGGGCTGTGAGGTCTCAGGGATCATGCAAGAGCTCATTGAGTCATCACACAGCGAGTCCGTCTCCCTCTGTGAGGCCAGTGCGAGCTCGCAGGAAGAACCCTCGCAGCAAGCAACGTGCTTTCATGCTCATGTCTGCAAGCGCCACCTGTTCTTTCTCCCCGGGTCATCCTTTTATTTATTTCCTTATTTTCCTCCAGTTTTTCTCTGACATTCTCCTCATTCCTTCGGTGCATTCCCAACTTCTGAACGCTTCCTGCCTCCTGCCTCCTGCCTGCAGCCGCCCTCGCCGCTCCCCACCTACATTCCCCTCCGCCCCCTCGACAGCCTACCCACTGCCTCCTGTTTGCAGCGCTCCCGGGGCAGGACCAGGCCCCACCTTCCAGAAGCCGCCCCCCCAAATCCCACACTCAAGTGGGCAGATGCCACCCCACTTCCCTTCATCCCTTTATTCTGAAACATACACCCCTGAGAGCCCACAAGGATGCCGCCTTTTGGTGTGGGTTTACACACAACACAAAGGCCCCTGGTAAAGAGCGGAGTCTCTGATCAGAGGAAGGAGCCTCACATGGCCTCCAGATGCTCCAGAGCAGCGGTTCTCAACCTGTGGGTCGCGACCCCTTTGGCGGTCGAACGACCCTTTCACAGGGGTCGCCTAAGACCATCCTGCATATCAGATATTTACATGACGATTCACAACAGTAGCAACATTACAGTTATGAAGTAGCCATGAAAATAATTTTATGGTTGGGTCACAACATGAGGAACTGTATTTAAAGGGCCAGAAGGTTGAGAACCACTGACCTAGAATAAGGTTGTGAACCGACCGAACACACCTCAGAGGGCTGGAAGCTGACTCTCCCTCCCCACGGGAGAAGTTCATCCTGAACCCACTGGCACGGAATCTCTTTGCTCATTTCCTACCCTCGGCTCCCCCTCCCAGGGCCGGAGGAGCACCAGCAAAAATGTGAACATTAGCAAGAGCGGTGACAGCACGCCACTGGCCCTGGAGACGGTTCTAACCTCACGGAGCGTGCTCACAGGCCTGAGCTCACTTCATCCCCAAACCACAAGCCACGCTCCCTCCCCTCCCCTCCGCAGGCTTCTAACACCAGTGCAAGGAGGTGTGTTTTCAGTCGGGTCCATGTCAGCCTTCGCCGCAGAAGCTAGCGCCTGTTTCATTGACTCCATAATGCCCCCCCCCTTTTTTCCCACATTTTAGCATCTCTGTAACGGGGATACATGCTACAATGGGCAGCATGTCATTCCCTTAGGGAAGCGTTTTTACTTTCTTAGAGTTTCCTCAAATGATGCTTCTAATCAACACATTTTGGATGCGATCATGTAGGCTAACTGCATCAGGACACAGGACCTCACAGCAGCAGAGAGAATGGTCTGGACCAGGGGTGGGCAAACTTTTTGACTCGAGGGCCACAATGGGTTCTTAAACTGGACCGGAGGGCCGGAACAAAAGCATGGATGGAGTGTTTGTGTGAACTAATATAAATTCAAAGTAAACATCATTACATAAAAGGGTACGGTCTTTTTTTTTTTTTTTTAGTTTTATTCATTTCAAACGGGCCGGATCCGACCCGTGGGCCGTAGTTTGCCCACGGCTGGTCTGGACGGTCTGTCCCTCGGGCTCGCCCTCCTGGCCTGGCTCCCCCGGCCACACTGTCCCCGGAAGCCAGAAGGCAGAGGAACTGGGGGGAAGGAGAAGGCCCTCCCCGACCACAAGAAGTGCAGCACAAATATTTACATGAAGCCCTTCCTTCTCCCCAAGACCAAACGGGCAGCTAAGCCAGGCTCAGCGCAAACACGGATGCACTTAGACATGAAGCAAGGCTGGCCCTGGCCAGTGCGGCTCAGCTGGTTGAGCGTCGTGCTGTGCACAGAGGTTTTGGGTTCGATTCCCAGTCAGGGCACATGCCCATTTTCGGGCTCAAGCCCCAGTAGGGGAGTGCAGGAGCCAGCAGATTGCTCGTTCTCTCCCTCTTCCTCTCTCTCTCTCTCTCTCTCTCCCTCCCTCCCTCTCCCTTTCTCTCTCTCTTAAATCAATAAAAACATATTTTTTTAAAAGGCTGAAAATGTCTCTTTCCCAAAGAAGAGAATATTGTATTGATTTACAGACGCATCTGAAGATTCAGTGCATCAGAAATAAAGCTCCTTGAGCCTCCCTGACACCAGTGTATACTGTTGATTCCCTTGATATGTTTCCAGCGTCATCTCAATCACTTAACCTTCACAGAATGCCCCCTTCCAGCTACGCTCTGGGCTACGTAAGGAATAAAAACACGAACAAGCACCTTGGTGTCCCTGGGGTATTCAGACCAGCCACCGAGACAGAAACTAAACTAAAAGGCAGGGAATGCATAACACCGTTATGAGACTCCAGAGGTGGGAGCAGCTGATTCTTCCTAAGAAATGAGGACAGCCCTGGCTGGTTTGGCTCAGTGGATAGAGTGTCGGCCTGCGGACCAAAGAGTCCCTTGTTCGATTCTGGTCAAGGGCGCATGCCCAGGTTACGGGCTCGATCCCCAGTAGGGGGCGTGCAGGAGGCAGCCGATCAATGATTCTCTCTCATCATTGATGTTTCTCTCTCTCTCTTCCCCTCCCTTCCTCTCTGAAATCAATAAAAATATATTAAAAAAGAAAAAAAGAAATGAGGGCAGTTGGAGAAAAGGGCAGAAGCCGACCAGAGGAAAGGACATGCAGTGCACCTCCAGCCCCACTGCCCCAGGCGCCCAGGAGGCGGAAGCCAGGCCCCAACAGAAGACAAGACATGAGGCAGACGGAGCGGACAGAGATGGCCTGGCGTGTCAGGCTCCAGAGCCTGGCTTCCATCTGCGGGCTAATGTTTAAAGGCAGCAGTTAAAGACGAGATCTGTTTTTCAGAAAGATGATGTCACAGGAGCAGGGGGAGGCCATGAGGACACATCAGAGCAGTAATGTGGGCTTGAGCTACGTGGGGGGCGGGGAGGGGTCTATGGAGATGACAGTCCTCGGCCAGGATCTGATGAGAAGAAAAGGAGAATCCTCCAGCCCCCCGCACCCCCCTCTGATCCCCAGGGCCCTCACGTGGAGTCCAGCAGGGTCCCATCCAGAAGCGAGGCGTTGTAGTGGTACTTGAGGTAATCCCCCTTCTTACTCAGCACTGAGCAGTCGGGGGGCTTGTAGTGGGACGTGACGCTGATGGAGTCGGAAGGGTTGTGGAAGTCGATCACGTGGATGTCAAACACCAGCACGGCCGAGCCAGGGATGTTCCCTAAAGGACAGACCCGGGAAATGAATGAGGAAACCCTCCAAGCGCCGTGCCCCCCGCGCCCCCCCCCCGCCTCCCCGCCCCCACCTCCCATCACCAAGGATGCCCTCACCCCTCACCCGCATCCATGAGGGGCACGGGGCTCAGGTATGAAACCCTAGAGCAGTGGTGGCGAACCTTTTGAGCTCGGCGTGTCAGCATTTTGAAAAACCCTAACTTAACTCTGGTGCCGTGTCACCTATAGAAATTTTTTGATCTTTGCAACCATAGTAAAACAAAGACTTATATTTTTGATATTTATTTTATATATTTAAATGCCATTTAACAAAGAAAAATCAACCAAAAAAAATGAGTTCACATGTTACCTCTGACACGTGTGTCATAGGTTCGCCATCACTGCCCTAGAGAACCCTGGAAGAAGGAAGCTGGAAGGGCCCTTAGAAGTAACCCGACCCTCACTTTACAGAAGGGGAAACTGAGGCACGGATTTGCTCCCCCCCCCAGGTCGGAGCCAGGTGGGAGCACAGTTGGGACCATCAGTTCCAGATGATGAGCTCCTGCCCAGGGCATCGCTCCACTGGAAAGATTCCTGGCTGAGCTCAGCACAGACCAGGCTACAGCTCAGCCACGTGAAGGCTCGCCCCGCTCCGCCCAGAGGCAAGAAGTGAGATGAGAAAATCAGCTGCAGCGTGAAAGCCGCTGCACACCCCCAGAGAGCCTCCCTGCGCACCCTGTTTGCTTCTTCCGCACAAAACCATTCATGAGATTTTATCTTCCGTTATCTCCACTGTGAAAACATGGCCTCTGAAAAACATTTTCGTTCACAAAAGTATTTTTCACGAATATCATCGTGTTCAATCTGTGCAGCAACCTGGTGGGAAAAACGGCTGCGAACCCCACGGGGAGCCCAGCGTGTCGCTCCACAAGCATTTACTGCGGTGACTGCGCGCCTGCCCTGAGGTAGGTGGTGAGGAAACCACACACTTTGTCTGTGTCCCCTCAGGGGTCAGTCCCTCAGGGATGAGCATTAGGTGCCAATCAAAAGAGGACAGAGGTGGACCCCTGACTCCCCCAAGCTCCCCCTCCCCCGCACAAAAGCACCTGGGGTGTCACGGGTCAGGGCGCCGCGCCCCCACAGCAACTTGGGATGCAGCAGCCTCAGGCCCAGAAAATTGATGAGCCTTCGATGCGTCCCAGAACCTTATCTAATTCTCTGACAGAAAGCCAAAAGGAGAAAAATCATTTAAGCAAATGTCTTCCCATCAATACATTCTTTTTAGAGAAAGGAAGGATTAGTCCTGAGGCCATAATTACAGGGACGTAAACACTCAGAAGTAGTTTTCTATTTCTGCACGCCTTTGGCTAGAGGTAGAAGTTTACATGACACAAAACAACAGGCACAGAGACAGAGGTAAACAAGCAAGGCCTGTTCCATGTGGCTCAAGCCGTGACCTGTGGTGGCTGCGTAAGTGGAAAATTTACGTCGGGAAGAAACAACCAACCTGAGGGTTCTTAGATATTCTGGACATGCCCTCCTGGGAAAATTCCAAAGACCCGTAGGCACAGTAGTAGTCAGGAAAGGGTAATATCGCAAATATATACAGCCTGCCAAGCCAGCCATAACCCCATCAGCAAAAATAAAATAAAATCAGAATAAATGCCACATCAACTATTCCTAAGCAAGCTAGCAAAAAATGGTATATGAGGGGGGAAAAACATAATTAAGAAAGGAAATATGGCTTGGAATACTATGCAGCCATTAAAAATACCTGTTGATATAGAGAATTTTCGCAACAAATTAGACAGAAAGAGAAATGACAACGTTATATGTACAGATGATCCCATTTTGGTCAGTATTTGTGTAGGTAGATGTGTGTTTCCTTTTATCTACATAGATTCACATAGACTAAAAAATATAGAAGAATAACCCGGGGTGGTAGACACACAATACAATATACAGATGATGTATTATAGAACTGTACACCTGAAACCTATACAATTTTATTAACCAACGTCACCCCAATAAATTCTATTTTTAAAAAGCATAGAGGAGTATTCACTTCCTGGTCGTATTAGTTTCCTATTGCTGCTATAACAAATTACTACAAATTTGGTGACTTAATGTCCTTGCCTTTCCCAGCCTCTCAAGGTCACGGCCATTCCCTGCCTTATGACCCTAAGTCAGCAGCTTAGCGTTTTCTCCTCTTTCTGACCTTTTGCTTTCCTCCTACAAAGACTCTTTTTTTAAAAAATATTTTTTTTTATTGATTTCAGAAAGAAAGGGAGAGGGAGAGAGAGAAACACCAATGATGAGAAAAAAATCACTAATTGGCTGCTGCCCACGTGTCCCCCACTGGAGACCAAGCCCGCAACCAGGGGAGTCCAAGTGGGACCTGCTGGTTCACAGGCTGACGCTCAACTGAGCCACGCTGGCCAGGCACAGAGGCTCTTGCAAGTACATCAAGGCTGCCTGGATGACCCAGGATGGTCTCCCATCTCAAGATCTTTCCCTTAGTCGCACCTGCAAAGACCGTTTTGCCATGAAAGTAACCTTCACAGGTCCTGGGGACCGGGCGCGGGCGTCTTTTGGGGCCACTCTTCTGCTTACCACACTACAACGTTCATTCCTGGGTGGGGGGATTATGGGAGGTTTTTGTTTTCTTGATCTGTATTTTCTTTTTCTAGAGTCAACATGTACTCTTTGTGTCCTTTTTAGGAGGGAGTTTATGATGAGAGGGACAAAACTGTTCTAAAACTGGATTAGCGTGATGGTTGCACAACTCACTACATTTACTAAAAGTCACTGAATTGGATCCTTAAAATGGTGAACTTTATGGCATATAAATTATACCTCAAATAAAGCTGTGAAAAAGCAAACCGTGTTTCGCCATTTACTCTCAAATGGCTTAACAACAACAAAAAAATCATAATTTATAGACAGAGAGAAAATAAATATAGCAAGATGTTACAACTGGGGAAACGAAGGGAGCTCACTATATAGTAGCTTTATGGTTTTTCCAAAGGAAAAGGCCAATCAGTGGGCAGGGAGGACCAGGGGAAACAGCAGGGCAGCTCTAGAAGGGAAAGCTGTTTGGGCCTTCAGGTCTAGTTGCACTTCAGTTTCGACATTGCGCTCATGAAGGCCGGGTTGCTTGGAACGGCCTGCAGGCAGCCGGCACTCACCTCTCCCATCCTCCCCGTACCCCAGGTGAGGGGGGACCACGATCCTCCGCTTCTCGCCGATGCAAACACCCAGTAAACCTTCGTCCATCCCGGCAATCACGTAGCCCTGCCCGATGTACGTGTCGAAGGTGCGGTTCCGTGAGTAGCTAGAAAAGAACACACAGAGTTCCTCACAAGGGACACCACAGCTGTGACATCCGTCAGCACGGGGAGGCAGCAGGAGACAGAGGCCGCCGGTCCCCGAAGACTGTGACCTTATTTAAAAAATATATTTTATTGATTTTTTACAGAGAGGAAGGAAGAGGGATAGAGAGTTAGAAACATCGATGAGAGAGAAACATTGATCAGCTGCCTCCTGCACACCCCCCACTGGGGATGTGCCCGCAACCAAGGTACATGCCCTTGACTGGAATCGAACCTGGGACCCTGCAGTCTGCAGGCCGACGCTCTATCCACTGAGCCAAACCGGTTAAGGCCTGTGACCTTATTTAAAAAATATATATGTCTTTATTGATTTCAAAGAATGAAAGGGAGAGGGAGAAAGAGACAGAAACATCTATGAGAGAGAAGCATGGATGGCTGCCTTCTACATGCCCCCTACTGGAGATCGAGCCCCCAACCCAGGCTTGTGCCTGACGGGGAATTGAACCAGCAACATCCTGGTGCGTGGGAGGGTGAGCTAAACCAGCTGGGCAAATACAATGACCTTAGAATCGGAGGACACAGCCAGGAAAAGGCTCCTCTGTCCATACCCAGCGTCCAGGCTGCCCTGTCGACAGGGGCACCTCAGACACAAGCCCTCCAGCCTTCTGGTCACCTTATGAATGGGACACAGTAACGAGGAGCAACCACAGGAATGCAGCTAACGTAACTGAGACGGACGCTTGGCAACCACGTCGGGCTCATGAAAAAAGCATCAAGGGAGCCCTTATCGGAAGCTCCGCGAGCGTCCAAGGACAATGTCCAGTTTCTAAGGAGAACCTCTGCACAGGTGGGACGTGAACACCGAGAGCAACTGGACGCGGCAGGCTCCACCACCGCCCGGTGAATTCTCCCTGCCGTGTCCCCGCTCACCGCGCTGCCGTCTGGTGAGGACTTGGGTTTCCCAAGTGCCACTGGCAGGCGCCCAAGCATTCCGCTCAGCGGAGATCCAGGCTCTGGGTGAACTGCCAACTGAGGTCAAGAATCATGAGTTTGGTGAGAACAAGAAGGAATTTCTCATAGCACGATGATTCCAGAATAAAATCATAAAATGTCATCTGCCACGTCTACTACCCAACTCTGAACCACAGGGATCTGCACCCGTTCTCCACCCCCACCTGGGGCAGATGGGCAGAAAGCCTGTCCTGAAAGAGCCAGCCTGTCCCGCCAACCCTCATGGAGCACAGCCCCCGGGTGACTGCCTCAGAGAAGGCGGGGAGAGCTGGGAGGTTCTTCCTTCTCAGCACCCTCAGAGACCACCAAGCCAAGGGGCGTGAAGAAATGGTAATAACAGTCCTTGCCGGTGTGGCTCAGTTGGTTGAGCATCAACCCATGCACCAAGAGTTTACTGGTTCAATTCCTGGTCAGGGCATATGCCCGGGTTGTGAGCTCGATCCCCCTGGTTGGGGTGCATGCATATGGGAGGCAGCTGATTGATGTCTCTCTCACATCTCTGTTTCTCTCTCTCTCTCCCCCTTCTCTTTTTTAATATGTTTATTGATTTCAGAGAGGAAGCGAGAGGGATAGAAACATCAGTGATGAGAATCATTGATCGGCTGCCTCCTGCACGCCCCCTACTGGGGATCGAGCCTGCAACCCAGGCATGTGCCCTTGGCCAGAATCGAACCTGGGACCCTTCAGTCCGTAGGTCAACGCTCTATCCACTGAGCCAAACCGGCTAGGGCTCTCCCCTCCTTTCTAAAAATCAATAAAAACATATCCTGGGGGGTGAGGATTAAAAAAGAAAGAATACTGTTTTGAAGGTGCAGGATATAGCAAGCTCTCATTCCTGCAAAAAATTAAAATAGGGGAATATGTATTTCAATGTATATGTATGGATGACCGATGAAATTCATAATACCACTTCCCTGTGAAGAGGGGCACTGGGTGTCAAGGACAGGATAGGAGAACAATTCTTCATTGTATACACTTTTATACTTTGAGGATTTTGAACTATGTCAGTGTATCACTTAGTAAAAAATAATAATGTTGAAAAAATAAAAAGAATACTAATTAGAAAGCTAAAATAGTTTAAGGTATGACACTGGCCCAGGAAGAGTTAGACCAATGGAAAAGGATAAAAATTCTAGACAAAGACCCAAAAGTATATTTTAAGAATTTAGTACATAATAAAAGCCAGATATTTGATGAGTGAGGAAAAACACAGTTATTCAATAAGGAGTGTTGGAAGCACTAGCTAACCATCTGGAAAAAACTAGTTTGATGCTTACTGTCACATTGAATACAACCAATTCCAGATGGATTGAATATTTAAGCATGAATGCATTCATAAGAGTGGAGAGGGACTGTGGAAAGTTATTAATATTTACGCTGGTAGTGAGAATAGAAGGGGCTGATGGGAAATTATTATATTCTATTATATACCTCTGCATTGTTTCACTTATATAATAAAGTAGGGAATGTTGGAACAACATATCATAATGCGTACGTGGCTTTCATTTTGAACCATGACTGTTACATTTTTCCCCGAAAAGAAAACCAAATGAAAAATTTAGAAGAAGAGACCCCAGGAGCAGGAAGAATGAATTATTCAAATAAAATGATCCCATATAACAATTCTTCTGAATGTTTCTGGCTGACTATCAGTGGTTCTCAACCTGTGGGTCGCGAACAATGAAAATACATCCTGCATATCAGATATTTACATGACGATTCCTAACAATAGCAAAATTACAGTTATGAAGTAGCAACAAAAATAATTTTATGGTTGGGGGTCACCACAACATGAGGAACTGTATTAAAGGGTCGCGGCATTAGGAAGGTTGAGAACCACTGGTAGATAAACCGAAGTCTACTGCCTCGGAGAGACGGGGAGACTGCTGCCACCACTGTTTGCCCGACAGGAGTGGTTTCCAAACAGCACAGGCCATTTGAAGGGGCAAGACACACCTCACACAGGCAGGCCCCAGCCATCCACACACCTGCAGCTGAGCCCTGTAAACCAAACACGACTCTGAATCACAACAGAGGCTGGGCAACTAGCCTCTTCGACCGCAGGAAGGCAGCCGAGCGCACCCAGCCCGTCCCTGCGGTAACAGGAAAGCCTGTAAAGTTTGGCAAGCGCTTTTGTCTCCCTTATGTCTTTAACCATCTCTGTGAAAACGGTGCCAATCACAGGTAAAAACCTGAAGCGTAGGGAGGTCAAATGCTGTCCAAAGCGACACAGCTAGTGCTCAGGGACTGGAACCCAGGTGTCCTGCCACCCAGTCTGTTCCCTTCCCAGCCTACTGCCTGGACCTCCCTTCTGGCCACTTCCCATCGTGGGCCCCACAGCTGAGTGTGCACTTGGATAGCTGAGCACAGCAGAGGGGGCTGGTGGGCGTCTAAGTTGAACCTCCCCTATTTTCCTGCAGATTCAGGCCCCACAGGCCCCCAGGGGAAGACAGTTCTACCAGCCTCTGAAGGACTTCAGTTCAGCAAACAGCAGCCTGTGTCGGAGCTGGAAAGACTAACTCGGAGTCAGCACTGAAGGGCATTCAGACCTGGTCCTCACCTGGAGTCAAAGAGGGTGCCGTCCAGCAGCGTGCCGTTGTAGTGATACCTGAGGAAGTCCCCGCTCTGGCTGCGGCGCTCGCAGTTCTCAGGGACCACCTTATTCTCGACGGAAATGCCATCCTTGGGGTTGTGCAGGTCCAGTAAGGCAACATCGAACACCAGCGATGCCTGCCCAGGAATGTCCTTCCCTGGGGCGGAATGCAGGAAGGTCATGACATCAGGACACAAGAACTGCCACTCAACACCCCGTGTGTGTGTGTGTGTGTGTGTGTGTGTGTGTGTGTGTGTGTGTAACTCATTCTTTGACAAATGTTCTTGGGCGGTTCCCCCTGGTGTCTCACCGTGGCCGGCAGGTACAATTTGAAGCCTGACTCCCTCAGGAAAAGGAGCAAAGTGACATGAATGACATAAAAGACGACTACGACCATGTTGTCTACGCTTGTGCTGGCAAATCAAGGCTCCACGTGGGTACCCCCACATGCAAACGCCAAGACATACCTCTGTGGGCGTGTTTGTGTAGAAATGCAAATGACATTTAAAGGCACAAATTCCAAAGCTCGGGTCTGCTCCTACCTAGACGTGTTCTTTGGAATACACAGCCAGTTTTTTTCAAAGAGACAATATGCAAAATTAAATCCTCTAGGTGCCTCCAAAACCAGATATAAATAAAATTAAAGTTAGCTGAGGTCAGAGAAAAAGTGACACCCGCAACCTGAAATATAAAGAGTCCTCGAGTCGTTTCTATCTCGCCTCTGGATGGCACTGCCTCTCCTGGATCTTCCGACAGCGAGGAGTCCTGCGTATCAGCAACCACCAATAATGACCTCTAAGTGCAGTACTTTGGGATGAAAGTGAGTTCACTGACGAACCACCGACCTCAACGCTCTGACTTTGGGATGAAAGTGAGTTCACTGACGAACCACCGACCTCAACGCTCTGACTTGCCACTGTTCACCAGGCAGAGGAGGAGGCCTGGGCAAGTGAGCCACGCGGTCCTTCCCTCAGGGGGATGATGAAATCGGCTGAAACAGGCTGCTGAGTCAGCCTCCGGAATGCAAGGTGTGGCCCATCCCCAGGGTGTGTGTGTGTGTGTGTGTGTGTGTGTGTGTGTGTGTGAGGGTATGCAGTAGGATATGCATCTTTTGTACTTTTCTGAATCTTGTAATTTAAGAGAAAAAAAGAAAACCTTAAAAGTCACCTCAGGGCTTACAATTTTCTAGCATTAGCACGTACTAATTGACTGTTCGTTGTCATTTTTTCTAACAACTTTATTGAGATATAATTCCCATACAATTCACCTATTCAAAGTGATACCTGGACAGCTGAGTACAGTGTAAAGTTTTTAAAGAGTTATTGTTTTAAATAAACCTTTTTTTAATATTTAAATTATTAATTCTTTAAAATAAATAAGTAATGTTCCTCATATTTAGCTAGGCATTTAGTTTTATGATGTATGTCGGGTGCACGTAGATGATGTCAAAAGAATTTGGGAGCCAATGCGAACGAATGTCCATGGGCAAGGATGAGACCACCGGAGCATCGATAAGATTGGACTGTCTAGTTCGAATCTCATTTCGCTGGTGGGAAAAACACAGGCTGGGCAGTGGTTGGCGTCCAAGGTTATAGTTTACGAGGCAGTGGCAGACGGCTTCCTTGTGAACGCCAATGACCGTGAACACGTGGAGGTTCCCGCCACTCAGTCATCAGAGAGCAGATGAGCTGGACTAGCAGTGACTGCCCCACACGACTGTGCAGAGACGGAAACGCTGCGTCTGCACCGTCCAGGACAGGAGCACTCGGCCACGTACCAGTAAATAGTCACAAGTAGCTAGTGGCTACCATATTGGACAGTGCAAGTCTAGACCAACAGGTCTGGGGTATTTCGTGTAGCAAGTTGCATTAATCACTGCAATAAAAATAAGGACAGCCCTGGCCAGTGCGCCTCAGTTGGTTGAGTATTGTCTGTGCACCAAAAGGTTGCCGGTTCAATCCTCAGTCAGGGCACGTGCTCAGGTTTCGGGCTCCATCTCATGTCGGAGGCATGCAGAAAGCAGCTGATCAATGTTTCTCTCTCACATTATTGTTTCTCTCTCTCTCTCTCTCTCTCTCTCTCTCTCTCCCTTCCTCTTTCTCTAAAAAAAAAAAAAATCAATAAAAAATCTTAAAAACAAAGAAAGGACAGATGAGAGTGGCATGAGAGTGAGAAGGACTTACCGTCTCCATCTTCTCCGTAGGCCAGAAAAGGAGGAATGGTGATGATGCGCTTTTCCCCCACACACATCCCCAGCAGCCCTTTATCCATCCCAGGAATCAGCCAGCCAATTCCCACGTAGGTGTCATATGTTTTCATGCGATTATGACTGAAAACCAACAAGAAAGGGGAGAAGTTCCATACCAAAGGGCATTTCTAACTCACCCCTCAGTAGGGTTTTTGTTACCCACATCTCAGTTGAGCAATGAACCCATCCCCATGCCTGGAGACGTGCATATATGGATCTTTGCTCCTAATCATAGAGCACACGTCCTAGAATTTTATAAAAAGCCTGTAATTAAGCCACAGCAATTCACAAAATTAGGCTTGTTCTTCTGTCTAACCGAACACACCTACAGTGAGGGGAAAGGATCACTTCCCCAGCTTAGCACCTTCTGCCCACACTTCTCGAAGCTTCCTATACGTGCAGCCTTCCCCTCCTCCTCCCGTGGAAAAACTACAAAAATGAACCAAAAAATGCATGAACTCCTTGGTCATAGGGCCCTTCACTTAACGAGACCTCAAAATACTGTTAATTTCGATAAACCCTGTTCTTAGGTTTTTCTAAGATATTTTACAATGCGGACTCTGGCACTGTGAAGAAGTTAACGCTGGTGAAAGCTGGGAAGAGTCCGTTTCCTGGTTCCTCCATGGGTGTGAAAAGCAGGTGAGATGGAGGGACTCGGGGCATTTCACGGATACGAGCATGGATGGGACTTACCTGGAATCGAACAGTGTCCCGTCCAAGAACGTCCCGTTGTAGTGATACCTAACGAAATCGGACACCTGGATGGTCCGAGGGCAGCTCGGGGGCTTGAAGTAAGTGTGAACCTGAACCTGATCTTCCGAATTCCAAATATCCATCAGAAGAACGTCAAAATGCAGCAGTGAGTCCGGGGGGATCACACCAGCTGGAAATGAGAGAGAATTCACACTGAGGAGCTGCCGTCGAGGGCTCAAGGGGACACTGGCCTCCAATCCCAAACTGAGCCCCATGTCCTCCAAATGAAACAGAAAGAAAACAGAAAAATAGAATGTTCCTCTCAGCCAGGGTAATACTCACTACACCCGTGTTAATAACGCCTTACTTCACATCTAGGAGAAATGACCCTAAGAGAAATTTTAGCTGTGTGTGTGTGTGTGTGTGTGTGTGTGTGTGTGTGTGTTCGCTGGTTCTTAATTTCCTCCCCACAATCGAAAGCTTCCAAGGATTCTCCCAGCGGCCTGACTGAACAGCCTGCAAATGTTCGGTTGTTTCTGCAGACGTGTTGACAAACACGGAACGAAAACTTACCAACGCCTTCACTCCCGTAAGCAAGCTTGGGGGGGATCTTCACAAACCGCCTCTCGTTCACGCACATCCCGACCAGGGCCTGGTCCATCCCTGCGATCAGCTGTCCTTTCCCCACAAACACGTTGAAAGTGGAGTCTCTGTCGTAGCTGACGACCCAAAAGGTAGGGAGAGAAAGAAAAGTATAAATAACGTTTCCCTTAGTGAAACCCAGCTGTGAACATGTACCCGCGGACTGAGTGAGGTTACTGCCAAGCAAAAAGCCTACAGAAGAGTTACTGACATGGGAACTGTTCTTATAGCACTGGAATTTTTTAAATTTCTGTGAATATTGCCAGCAAGTCTAGTTAGATAGCATCAGCATAACTCCCCCGCATATATATTATATATATAATTTGTTTTGAAAAATAACTTCCAATTCTACTAAAATTAGTTTGCTCCATTTCTTTTCCTTTTTCTTTTTTTACTGCAGAAAAAACACACTTAGGGCAATGAAACAAGGACAGGCACAGAAGGAGCAACAGGAGAGCCCAGGCTGGGCCGCTCTGGCTCGCTGGGAGGTCAAAGGAAAGGGGCCTTGCGGACAGGTTCAGGGGGTGGGCCTGGGATGAGCTGCCGCTGCCCACTGCTCCCCTGGCTGCAAGTCTCATGGGGTCCCTTAGAGCTTGGGGAATACATGCCTGTGGGGGGAAAAGGAGGGAGAGAATGGCATGGACATGCTCCCTGGAGGGAGAGCACCCAGTTTACTCCATTTCTGTGTGATTGGTACCTAGAAACATCATCCTAGCCCAGCCGGCGTGGCTCAGTGGTTGAGCAACAACCTATAAACCAGGACAGAAGTCACAGTTAAATTCCCGGTCAGGGCACAAGCCCGGGTTGCAGGCTCCATCCCCAGTAGGGGGTGTGTAGGAGGCAGCCAATTGATGAGGTTTCTATCTCTCTATCCACCTCCCTTCCTCTGTCTCTAAAAGTCAATAAAAACATTAAAAAACAAAAAAATACATACAATAAAGGTTGTATGGCCATTTTAAAATACCAGATTAAAAAAGCAATAAAAATTTTAAAAATAACAGACTTCTGTTATGGGGATGTAATGTACAGCATGGGTCTATAGTTAATAATTTCCATATTATATTTCACATTTGTAAGCTGCTAAGAGCGTAGGTCTTAAAATTTCCCATCAAAAGAAAAAATTTTTGTAACTACGTATGGTGACAGATGTTAACTACACTGTGGTGATCATTTTGCAATACATACAAATATGAAATCATTATGTTGTACACTTGAAACTAATATGTAATATGTCAATTATACCTCAATTAAAAAATTGAAAAAAAAAAAACCCAAACAGATTTCTATTCACTGGAAAAGAGGATACACTCATTAAGAGAAAAGTGCAGGTTACAAAGCCACAGTATAAAACAATCCCATTATGGATCTACATATATAGGTGCACATGAAAAAATCCACAAGGCGACACATGAAAATAATATCAACGATAATCTATGGGTAGGAGATTACAAGTGATTTGTCTTCCCTTTAATGCTCTCTTAATTTTCAAAATGATCATGTAATACTTGTGTAATAAAACACTAAGAGCGGTTGGATTATACCTCATTAGGATACACTGCCCTTCATTTGGTAAATGACTTCCACCTTTTCTTCCTTTTCTCTAAAAAAAGGCTGGGGACAACAGCACATCCTCCTCCCACTGGCAGGGCAGCTTCCTCAGGCCCCACCCCCACTTCCCTTCTTCCCTTTGTCCTCAGTTTTATGGCCCATTCAATAGCCTTCCTTTCTCCAAGGTCAGTGAATAGAACAAAAAATTCCAAGTGCAGGCCAACAAGCCAGAGGACAAAAGAACTGGTCAGCTTTGTGCCCTGGGCGGCTTTACACCTGAACCCTCAACCTCTGGAGGACCAACGGCCGCTCCCTCTCCCTCGAATGCCAGCTCTGAATTCCACATGGCCGTGGCCGGGCCGGAACCACCATGCCCCGAACCACCATCTAACTGGTGGGTTTATGTTAATAATGACCAGAACTCAAGGCTTCAAAGACTCCCCACACCCAGAACACGCACAGACAGCAACAATGCACAGGCTGAAGACTACTTTATAACTATGTTTTCCATCCACAGCACTTGAATATAGAACATTTTTTTAAAGAATGCATTTATATATATATATATATATATATATATATATATATATATCTTTTTAAAAAATTGGTTTCAGAGAGGAAGGTAGAGGGAGAGATAGAAACATCAACGATGAGAGAGAGACATTGATCAGCTGCCTCCTGCATGCCCTCTACTGGGAATTAAGCCTGCAATGGTGGTATGTGCCCTGACCAGGAATTGAACCAGTGACCTCCTGGTTCATAGGCTGACGCTCAACCACCAAGCCACCAGAATGTTTAATAATAACTACTATTTAGAGAGTGTTTCTGATGTGAGGCACAGAGGCAAACTCAGTTTTGCCATATACTCCTCATTGGATCCTCATACAACACTTTAAGGTGTGTGCGGATACCTGGGCTCGTGAAGGTGAAAACACTTCCCAAACTCACCTGGTTAGCCAAGTGGGGGGGGAAAAGCTAGAACCCAGGACTGTTCAACTCTTACCTTTCAGGCACAGGGCCTCCCTAGACTGCTACTGCCTCGCAGTATTAATTTCTTCATTTGATGACCCCGTAAACGAAGTGCTAAAAACAGAAAACACCTTCTAAAAGAACATTTACATACTCAAGAAACTAACGGTGCGAGGCCGGCCAGTCTTATTTACTGCTGAAAACCCTGACCATCTGGAAAAATAAAGCTGTTCTGAGCACATTTGTGCTGATCAGTACAACTGGCACACATTCCCGTGCAGCGCCCAGCCCGGCGCTGGTCATGAAAACGAAGCTCGGGAATGAGCCGTTACACAACCTGTCCCAGCATCTGGCTGATGGACACCTTTTGCAGACATCCCAGGCCGAGTACTGCGGAAACAGATGATACACCCAAAGGAGGCAGTTCCAGGGAAGTGTAATAAAGGGGGCTGTGTGCAAAAAAGTGTGTGTGTGTGTGTGTGTGTGTGTGTGTGTGTGTGTGCCGGGTGCAGAGAAATGACAGGGAGATGCAGTACCCAAGGGGACCAGTAGGGAGTACTGCTGTCACAGATGGGCCTGAAGGATTCAGGGACAGAGAGGGTAGCTCAGAGCACCCCACAGAAGCTAAGCTGGGACCTTAGGTCTGGGGACACCGCCCACCATGACTCTACAGACAGGGAGCCTGGGAGATAAATATCTCATCTTTATTCACCTCCCTCCCTCTGTTCTTTGGCTGATGCCGCATTGGCTGAACCCAACCAAAAGCCAAATGACAAGGAGGTCGCTGATATAACCCCCTTGTATCACCGGAACGGGGAAAGTGGGCCTAGGAAGGCAAGTGGAAATCCTCCAGCACCTCCAACACCCCCCTTTCCTCTCCACCAGAATATTTTTTCTCCCCTGCTCATTCTCTGCTGCAGACCCTTCCATTGCTGCCCCTGACACCTGTACCTTCCCCTGCCCCGAGGGGGGGAGGTGCAAGGGGGGGGATGGGAGGTGCCTGCGGTACTCTCCAATGATGCTCTTCACAATTATCAGCCCAAAGCCCACTAAGACTGGAGGCATCATGTAAAACCATCACACGCACCTCCCTCAACTGTATACCCACAAGCACACACCACCTGGCAGCATGTTCCTCCGGATAAATGACTATCCCTGGCTGTATTCTTAAAGCACAGATACCGTGGCTCTATTGGTAAGTGTAGGTTTCAATCTGCAATGAGGATGAACCTTGAGAAGAACATAAGGCAAACTGAACACATTCCCTCTCGGGTCCCCAAAGCCCATTCCTTCCCCAAGCTCCCAAGCTCCTCTTTTTTTTAAACATTTGTTTTTATTTTTTTAAAATATATATGTTTTATTGATTTCAGAGAGAAAAGGAGAGGGAGAGAGAGAGAAACATCAATGATGAGAGAATCATTGATCGGCTGCCTCCTGCACGCCCCCTACTGGGGATTGAGCCCGAAACCTGGACATGTGCCCTTGACTGGAATCGAAGCTGGGACCCTTCAGTTCGCAGGCGGACACTCTATCCACTGAGCCAAACCGGCTAGGGCTCGAGCTCCTCTTTTTAAATGGGGACTTAGAAAACCAGAAAGGAGTTCCTTGATGTCAAGAGATGGCAACTACATCTTGGAAGGTGGAAAGGGAGTGGATGAGCAGGAACTGACCTAGAAATGAAGAAACAGAATCTCGATGAATAGAAAGGGGATGTGGCCAAGGGTGGGTGCCCTGTGCCTCCCAGAGCCTGCGGGTGGAAGGCGGCAGGGCAGAAGGAAGCTTGGAGCTGTGTCAGAGCATCCCACCCAGCAGGGCATGTAGTAGGCGCACAATAATATTTACTGAACCTCTGGACCCTAAGGCCTGCAGGCTGTGAATGAAATGACCAGATGCTTGGTTTGCCTGCTAAAGATCACAGGAACTGCTAAACTCCAGTCCCCCAAGGAAATCCGAGCAAACAAGAGGAGTGCTAGGAATACGGCAAAACTCCTAAAAGCTGAATCAGGACTGGCTGACCAGGCGCTCCAAGACCTGGAGAGTGAGAGCAGGAGTCCCACGGACACCTGCAGGCGGAAAGCTGGTGTCCTCTCCTAGGGTCTGGAGCAGCAGCCACAGGGGCGTATTAACAAGCCCACAGAGGCTCCGAATAAAACCAAACCAGGCCAAGGGCTGAAGGGCTGGATCTCTTGGCAACTGCAAATGCCCATAAGCTGAACCATCACCAACTGCTCCCAAGCGCCAGGCAGAGATGCAGGAAGAAAGAAAGCTCTGTGGAAAGAAAGGCCCTGTGAGGTTTATGACTCTGGTCGGGGTGACAGCCATCCAGCCACGGTTTCCCTCTGGGCACAATCTCCGAATCAGCAGCCAAAGCCCAAAACACCTTAGATTTCTCCTCCCTCAAGTTCTTCGAGCAGGAATAGCAAAGTCATCCCTAATAATTCATAAAATCCCAAAGGAAAGGGGGCCCTAGAGGGAAAACCTCACATTAGTAAAGCACCTACTGTGTGCCCTCCACTGTCCACACTGCAGCCACAGGGACCTTCGTAAAACACAAATCTGGCCCCTCGTTCCCCTGATTAAAACTCTCCAATAAAAAAGAAGAAAGAAAACTCTCCAAAGGCTTTCCATTGTCCTTAGTCAAAGTCCATACACCATATCCAAGCAGGCAACATCCCTCTAAAGCTGGCCACAGCGCCTCTCTTCTGGCCTCCTCTCACCTCTCTTTTCTCCCAGCTCAGGCCACAATAAACAGACTGAATGTCCCCAACACAATGCTCCCACTCCAGATCTCAACTATTCATATGCTCTTCCCTTAACCAGACACACCCTCTGCTCCCTACAACCCTCACCCCTCAGCATCTCCCAGTAAATTGTAACCCTCCTCAGGTCTTATCCCTGAAACCCCAGGACTCCATCCGGAACCCCACCCCAACATGACATCCGGTTAAGCCTTCCGTGTGCTTCCATAGCTCCTTGCTTTTCTTCCATCGTTTATACATGGCAGACCACAGGCTCTGGCACTAAAATGCCTTGGTTCAAAGCCCCACCCCACCACTTAGTAGCTAGCGACCTTTGGCAAATTACTTGAACTTCTTGAGCTTCGGCTTCTTCAGTGGGAATGAGGTATCTACCTCGCTGTCTTGTAAGTTAAACAAATTCATCTGAGATTAAATGAATTCATGTATGTAAGGACATGTGATAAAAACTCCATGTGAACTCTATGTGAGAAACTGAAGTGTGTGCTATTCTTCTTTCTGTACTACCTCACTATGTGATTGCTGAACTGTCAGTGGTAGGGGCAGGGGGGGACAGTCCCTTCAGGGGCAGACACTGCATCCAAGTTTGCTGAGTGGACGGTAGCCCCTCTGTGCTCTTTCCACTGCCCCACACCGCCTCAAAGTGGTTGCCATGGCTACAGGGTAGAAAGTCTCAGACAACTTGTGCTAGTGGGAATCCTATATAATAAAAGGGTAATATGCAAATCGACCAAACAGTGTAATGACAAGTCGCTATGATGCGCACTGACCACCAGGGGGCAGATGCTCAACGCAGGAGCTGCCCCCTGGTAGTCAGTACGCTCCCACAGGGAAATCACCACTTAGCCACAAACTGGGCTGATGGCTGGCAAGCGCAGTAGCAGTGGCAGGAGCCTCTCCCACCTTTGCGGCAACACTAAGGATGTCCGACTAATGGCTTAGGCCCGCTCCCCATGGGCCTAAGGGGAGCAGGCCTAAGCCATCAGTGGAACATCCCCCAAGGGCTCCTGGACTATTAAAGGGTGCAGGCCGGGCTGAGGGGGACCCCCTCCCCAGTGCACGAATGTCATGCACCGAGCCTCTAGTTATTAAATAACACCAGTGTAAGCAGGAAATTCTTCCCTATTTCTAACTAAAGAAGCAAATGAAAGAAGACACACAAACGGTCAATAAACACGTGAGAAGATGCTCAGCATCATTAGCCTGAGGGAAATACCACTTAAAACCACAATGAGATACCACTTCATACCCACCAATAATTAAGTGGCTATAATTAAAAAAACAATTATAGGTGCTGGGAGAATGTGGAGCAGTTAGGACCCCCATGCACTGCTGGTGGGAATGCAAAATAGCACAGTCAACTGTTGGAAAATGCAGTTCCTCACAAAGTGAAATAGAGTTGCCATGGGACCCAGCAATTCCACTCCTCGTGCTCTATGGTTATTCCACATTTTGTTTCCCCATTTATCAGTTGATGGGCATTCGGGCTGTAGTACTTTCTGGCTATTATGAATAATGACGTGTGAACATGCATGCACAAGGTTTTGTGTGGATATATGTTTTCATTTCTTTTTTGGAGTGATGAAAAAAAAAATGTCCTGGAATTGGATAGTTGTGATGTTTGCACAACTGTGACTATACTAGAAACCACTGAACTGTACATTTTGAGTGAATTGTTTGGTATGTGAATTCTACCTCCAAAACAAAAGAAGTGATTGAAACAATAGTAAGCACACGCATGTCTGAGCACTTGCTATGGGCCTCATAGCACGCTAAACAGCTTTTGTAGATTCACTCATGGTCTACAATTTCAAAAAACAAAGCCAGAGAAGGTAAGAGAAGGCTTAAAAGGACGAGTTCAGTAAGGAGCCTGCCCAGCCTGGGCACAGAGCGGATGCTCAACAGATCTCTCTGCCTAGTCGGGTGACTCACTGAGATGTGCCCCAACAGACCTACTAGTAACAAAGCCTTGCGGGGAGGGCCTGGAGCTGGAGCCGAAGAGGCCTGTTAACTCTGGACTTGGATTGTCCGAGGTTTCAGTCGGCCTCCACTTAGACAAGTGTCTTCGCCTCAATGGCCTCAAACTTCACTGGCTTAGTGAGGGTAATGACAGTACCAACCTCGGAGAATTGCTGTAAGAATTACGTGAGCTCATTCTACGGAGAGCACTTAGAACTCCCCTGGCCCGTGGTCATCTCTCCATACACACAGCGGCCGCTATCATCGGCTGGAGCACCGCAGACTAGGTGAGGGGCCTGCGGGAAGGCACGCGAAGGGGGCGGCGGGCGCTCAGCCACAGTGACCCCGGGGTCGGTCGACCCACGGAGTGGCTCTCACACGGGTTTCGCGCGTGTACATGAACTGGCAAAGAGGAGGGGCGTGACTTGCCCCAACTCCGCTGCGCAAGGTCGTGTGGAAGATTCCAGCCCGGATTAGAAGACCTGGGGAGCCCGGATTAGAAGACCTGGGGAGCCCGAGGGCCGGGAGGGATTTGAGGGTCGCGGGGCTTAGGGGTAGGAGGAGGGAGAGGGAGGAGCGCGGGGTCCGCGGGGCGGAGCTGGGGGAGGTCCGTCGGGAGGGAAAGGCCTGTCCGGAGAGAGGGAAGCGGGAGAGCCCGCGGGGCGCGGTACCTGGAGTCGAACTTCTGGCCGTCGGGGAAGGTCCCCACGTAGTGGTAGCGCACGAAGTCGCCGCTGCGCACGGTGCGCGGGCACTCGTCG